GCAACATGCTGGTGGAGGAGAATCACATGAGTCGAGCTTCTATTCATTCTATTCTATTCATATATGCATTGAATCTATATCAGCAGTTGGTAGTGAGTCATGGACAAATGAATTCCTAGACACTTAACTCCTGTGTATCACACACAAGCATTACAATGTCCGGCATGGAGGCCCTCTTGTTTTCTATACAGCCTTTATTAACTTGACAGCTTGTTTCAACAGTCAAAATAAAAATAAGTATAAAATTAGACAAAGAAATAATTAGTGTCGGTTGGATGCAAAAATAATATAATTTAAGTTATCTATTTTTTTTTTTTTTATAGATTTTAACATGAGAACAAAGCCTCACTGCTTGGAGTACCAGTGAAGCTAGGAATAGTATTTTAACATAGCTGCTTATAGTTTCAGCCAGGGAAACACATTGTGATTTTTTATCAGCCTCGGTGGTAATGACAAAAGGGATTTAAACTGGAATTATGTTTTCTTTCCCATTCTTGAATTTTAGGGTCAGCAGATCTGTAAACCATGTAATATAAACTACACAACACGTTATTGAGATGATAAGTTCTTTAATGAAGACCATGTGTCAGCCAAAATAATATTGAACTATCAGTATGCATGCTGGTTATTTTTCTCAGTGAATTGTTTCATATAAAAACAAATTCCATGTTTTATTCCTTGCAGAAAATAGCTTAATGGAGGTAAAAACGAGAGTGTGTTTTGGCATGGTAAATATCTGTATTAGAAATATTGTATTTATGCATGCCTTGGAAGATAGAAAAGGGGAACACCATGTTTGTAAACACTGAAAGTAGTACATTGTATCTACCTGATATATTTTATTTGCATATTTATCCTCATATTTATCTGTGAATGATCCCAGTGGGTACCGTTTTTATCCGTTGGCTTTCTCTCCTGAGAAACCTACCCATTATATGATACATAAGCACCTGCCTTGTCCATTGCATGTAGGAAATGGAATGAGATATGAAAAAGTATAAGGTTACACACTTAATTGATTTTTTCCATTTTCACATTACCAAGAATTGGAGCCAGATATTTACTTTATTTACGATTTGAATGGACTTCATTGACGAGATCACATCTTGTATGTTACTGAGAAAAGCCATATAATGAAATTTAAATTAGTATTTACAAGAAATTATCTCTGAAAACAAAAATGAAAAATGTCTATATTATCTAGTTCTGTATCCTGTTCTATACTTTGAAGAGAAAGTTTATGAAGCAAATATATTGAAATTACTACTGTGTTAATCTTCCATTAAAACGATGATAGGAAGTGAGTTCACGATAATGTTCTAAATCACTTTCCTGAGTTGTTATTTCATCATTTGCTTTTCTAATGGACATTTTGTCCCCAGTATTTGGGAAAACATCAAGAATGACAGTTTGGTAATGTTGAATATTCATGAAGTATTGTAGATTGTGATGCTGCCATGTCGCATAGTGCTGAGCCCAGCTGGCAGGCTTCATTTAAATAATGGCATTGTTGGCACTGTTTGATTTACCAAACTCTCCAGAATGTCAATAGGTTGTAGTTCACAGATCATATTTCAAGTTTTTAGTTCATTTGATACTGTATGTGCAATATGGGAAAATGTAATTTCAAGCGGATGAGGTGTTGACGCTTTATTGTGTGAAGTGAAGTAAAAAAATAGAGTGCTGTTCGATGGTAGTTATTTTGGGATGCATTAAGATGAAGCTATCTGAGAACAACTTACTTTGTGATTGTAAAATGTGAAATGGCATATGGTAAGATAGTTTTGAAACATTTATTTAATACTTAACTTTGATCATTTCCAAGCCTTTTGAAGGGTATACTTTCAAGTGTTTTGTTGTCTGTTTTAATTGAAATATTTCATTAAGGCAATGCTATAGCGTGAATCAATGCAGGATAATTGACCTGGTAGTCTAAGGGAGATAACTCCATGTTACCTTTGGTAGAAATCAGGTGTTGAATGAGGCTGGTTTTTGGCCAGAATGTGGACAACGCATAGGACACATGATGATTAACTACTACTACTACTACTACTACAACTACTACTACTACTACAACTACTACTACTACTACTACTACCATATTTGACATAATAAGTGCCCAGGGCACTCTCAAATTTAGAAATAGGGGGGATAATAATAGATTATCATTTTGGTGAAAAAAAACAGTTGAAAGATAAAGTTTGTGGTTTATGCTGACAGCCTGAAATGTTTATGTACGACAGATATGCATGACAAAATTCGCCATGGGCACTTATTACGTCGAATACGGTATTATCTTTTGGACCTTGTTTTTGTGTTGTTCATCATTTGAACTGAAGGTATTACACAGCAAGGTTTCAAAAGTTCATGTAATGATAGCATTTGATGGGTCCAGCTTTTTGGTCTCTCTAACAACCAATAATTTCATGAAAACTTTCAGTGGAAACTGTTCTGACTTGTAGTTCCATGTTAACTTTAATGACAAACATTTCAGTAACACATGTTTTATGAATAACAATACTTCTTGCAGGTTCAATTAAGGGGCTCATCTAAACATCTCACTGAGTGCTCATGTAGGAAGACAAACATGAAACTCAATTTCCACGCAAAATTGATCTGCTACAAAATAGTTTAAAAGTGGCAGTCCACAAGGAAGGGTCACTATTCATCCTACCTGTAGTCCAGGGCCCACTTGCACAGAACAGTCTTAGTTACAATCGATCTTAGGCGGCTACAATCAACTTTACAATCACCATACAATTGTCCTATTCCACTTGCACAAACCGAACTCAGCAAGCTTGTAAAATGGCTTGGAGTTCGGATCGCGAACTTAGCTAAGATTGAAATCTTCACCAGTGGAGGTATGAATATTTTAAACTCGACTCCTGTCTACAGTTGTCTGCAAACGCGCATAGTTTGCTGCGCATACAATAAGTGGAAGCGGTAACGACACGCAACACGTACCTCCCTCCATCGCACTTTGCACAGTTTCAAGAAAGGTCCCAATTATTTGAAGGAAACGATTACTAGAATGAAGGCATATATTCTTGTCGGCATTAATACTGTTGTGATTTAGGAATTGTTTTCTATTTCAACAAGAGAAATACCTACTCATGTTTTTATTCAAAGTATTGAAATACGAATAAATACATTATTTAGTAACAAAATTATTATGAAAATTAAAATAAATAATAATAATAATATTTCCTACAACCATAACGCGTAAATGCATGATCGTCATCTATTTGGGGGAGCTTTTCGTAAAATCCTAAATATATCCTTCATGTTTTCGTTTCGTTGCTACAACAAAGGATGTTATGACTACCATTTCAAAACACAGAAAGACGCATAAACGCATAGACGGGAAATAAGAATAATGAATAATGTTTCGAGAAAGCAATTGTCTATATATATTCACTGGGTATTATTATTACTTATTTATTTTAAAAGTGTGAATTTTATTTTGGCTTATTATCGGAAATTTAGCAAAAACTTCAAATGTTTCATCATGTATATTTGCTTGTTTGAATACTTGTATTTTTTTCTTTTAAACCCCGATATTTAACCGCTCGTCACCGTCCCATTTGATTTTAGATTTAAACATGTATGATTTACTCTTCAGCTTGTATTTATTTGTAGATTAATTTAATGATAAACTAAAGACAAAATAACTGACATGAATGTGACCCAAAAGAAATATGGTGGGGGGGGGGGGGGGGGGGGGGGGGGCTCAGGAAGGTTTTTATCCTTCCCTTGTTTAGCGGAAAGGTATGTTGTTTCACATTTCTTTCAGTATTGAGTCGGATGTGAATATTCCTTTTAGCTATCTACTCGATAGTTCCATGTTTAACTGTGGTAATTAACGATATTTCTGATGTAAAATATGTGGTGCATTCTTCATGTTGTTAAAGTGTCGATTCGAATTATAAAGTTTAACAAAATAAAGAGGCATGGTTTGAACGTAAAGCCGATTATTTATGTGAAACTGACCAAGCCTTGCACGCCATTTTGTCAAGTTTATTCAGGGACTACAACGATCTTAGCTACTTAAGATTGGTCCGGACCAATTGTAAGTTTCGATTGTTGCTTACAATGATCTAAGCCTACAATCGCTTTGTGCAAGTGGATGACGGTTGTAGCCGAAGCCTAAGATCGCGATCTGAAGGATTTACAATAATTGTAGCGCTAAGATCGCTTTGTGCAAGTGGACCCTGGACTGGTTGACTTATCAAAGGCTTTTTATGATCCCTGGAATAGGACAATAGTTTCCTTTTTCAGACAAACAAGTTCAGTTTCCACCCTTGCTGAACTAGGCTGAAATTATGAAGTTATATTTTGGCTGAACAACAAGTCTATGCATAGTCCAATCAAAATACCGTAGAGATATTGACATCCGGTTCATAAACAACAATTACACGTTCCAGTGTTGGATGAAAGTAGGACGATAGCATTCCAGCTTGGATTGATCTTTAGATTCGTAGCCTAGTGGTTAAATTGTTTGCTCGTCACGCCGGGGACCTGGGTTCGATTCCCGACATGGGTACAATGTGTGAAGCCCATTTCTGTTGTCCCCAGCCGTGATATTGCTGGAATATTGCTAAAAGTGGCATAAAAACAAAACTCACTCACTCACTAGATTCAGTCTCAACATACCTTGTATCTTATACTGGGCAAAAAATGTCAGGGATCATGAATATTTTAAGGTATAGACATTTTTGTAGTGAAGACTGAGCACACAATTTCATATTTCACACATTTCAGAAATAATTCATGGTCCCCAACTTTCTTTGTTCATCTTATATGCTTGAATAAGGTTTGTCATGCTGCACCTTCCTCATGATATAGGTATAACAATATCTGGGTCTCTAATTATTGCACTTCCCTTCATTTGCACTGTTTTTGCAGGAAATTCTCCGGTCCATGTGGTCATCTGACACAGTGATGTAGTTCTCAGCCAGTTTGTGTTAAACCTGGTTCATGTAAACTTGTTGTGTTTGCAGGACCCTGGGGGGCTGTATGGACGAGAACGCCCACTGCTACACCCTGGAGGTGTCCTTCTTCAGCTACCAGACCAGCACCACCGGCCAGGCCATGCCCTACACAGAGGAGGGCTGTATCCTTCACAACTACGGGTGGGGAGTATAGCTTCTTATCAACCACTGTCAACTGGTAGATATAATCAATGAAGAATGAGTGCTTCAGGAAGAGTCCTTGTCTGGACATTTGATATGCCTTTAAAAAGGGCCGACTGTAGAACAGCATCTTCTTCCATGGGAGTTCTGTGGAAGAATAACTCCCCAGTACTGTATGAAGATCAAGTGGTCAGGCCGATTGAGTGTCACAGTGGCTTGAATGCATTGATTGTTGTTCATGCTATCAATGACTGGTTTGCCAGACCCAGGTTTGATTATTTACCGGCCAGGTGTAGCTGGAAGACTGAGGTGAAGACAACGTTCTCACACTCATTCAGTGGTTGGAGGGGATCAGAGATACTGCCCGACATATTATACACACACTGCAATGTCACTAGTGCCATTCTAAAGTGATTGCTTTCAAAAGGCCTTACATGTGACGCTCATGTAGACCACAGCTGTGAATATAGTGGGTGTAAGTGTTCAAAATTAGCCCTGAAAGTGGAAGGGTCCTTGTCACAACTAAATAAGGGACCCCTGGACTCAAAGATTTTTGCAGCAAACAAAAAAAACCCCAGGACCCTTCACTTTCTAAGACTGGCTGAGAAATCACTTCCAATTATTAATACAGGGGTCGATTTTACTGCTGGCCCATTGGCCCGTGGCCAGTTAAGATTACAATGGACTTGCTGAAACGTAAAGTAGATGGCCCGTCTGGCTAGTCAAAATTTCACCCTATCTCCATGTATGATTCATTTTTTCAGTTGATCATCTCAGTAGAATGACAACCTGCCGCCATTTTGTAACTTCTTTTTTTGCTCCTAAATCGCCATGTAATGAGCCAAATGGAAGCCAAGATTTGATCTCAGAGTGCAGGAAAGAATGCTTTAGGGGTGAGGAGTTTTCACTTTTCAGGGCCATTTAGTTATAGGCCAGCTAGTTATAGGCCAGCTAGTTTGGAGAAGGGCCAGAAACTGTCAAAAGGAGCAAACCCTGCTGGCTACATAGACGTTTGTTGTTAAATCTACCCCTGTTCATTTGACAGTATGTTTATCTAAGTTTGCTATGATGGTGAAACAGTCTCTGTGAATCTCTGACGCCTTTCTTTGACCATTTGAGTGCCTTTCTAAGTGTCTTATTGCCATCTGACAGGGATGGCGTGTTTAATAGAAATACATTCCATTCCCTTCAGTGGTTATATTTTGCAGCTTTGTAAGAATAAGTTACTTAGTTTAGACAGGGTTCATATAGGTATTAAAATGTCAAGATGTGAAAAGTTCTCTTCAGAATGAAAGAAACACATTCTTGTTATTGTCAACTAATGACAACAGTTTGAGCCGAACAGCGTCTTCCACAGAACAGATAATGGCAAAACAGTCTTTATGTCTTAATGGAGCTCAATCATAGGGCATTCAAAAACATAATGGACAATTACCAATATATAATTGGCCATTAATCTTTAGATATTATACCAAGAAGGAGACTTTTGCCACACTTGGAATGGCCCATCCCAAAACAATATCAGATTCTGTCTGTTTCTTCTTGTCTTTGACTGGGCCATCTTAGATTTATGCTCGGTACTTCTACAGGAGACAGAATTTTCAGATGACTTGACAAATGAGTTATTTGGACATGAAATTATGCAAAATAAGAATATAATTACAATATGTCGATATGCTACATACAGTAATTTCTTGTAAGGAAGCAAGAAGTATGTTTCCTATCAATATGTGGTTTATGTTGATGTCCTCATGTTGAAAGTTGGGGCCCAGGTGGCCCAGTTGTCTATGGTGCCCCAAGTGATTGAGTTCCATGACCATGGGTTTGAACCCCAGATTTGCCCTGATGATACATGGTTTGTTGGGACCACACCCATGCTCTTGGGTTTCACCTAGGGGGTAAACGTCAGGAGCTGCATCCCGTCAATCAAACAGGCCATGATGAAACTGAAATACTGTTGAAAGTTACGTACATTAAACCAACTCACTGACTCTATTCCTATTCCTTCTGAATTGTTCCTTCATCTAGTAATTAGTTTCCATGGCAAGTTTGATCGAAATTTCCAGATTTGTAAATCTCTGTAAACGTTTTTTCATAGGTACCTGAGATAGTGTTTTATTGAATTTGAGCATAAGTAGATGTGCATACCCCGGTGTGCTGTGTCAACTTAGTATTTGTATGTGTTGGTGCTTTCAATAGACATATTTTATCTCAGTCTAGCACTGACATGAAAAAGTGCAGTCAAGAATTATGAAATAGTCAAATGTATGATGTCACTTATTATCTTACGGTAGGAGTGACTCTGTTGTTCCACAACATTCTTTGACTGTGACATCACTACAGTGTCGCCACATCTTGGCACTATTGTGATCTCCTCTATGTAACACTGAGCTATGTTCCATGTTTAAAGTCGGCTTCGACAAGGTTTGTATGTGAGCTGTTGGTAGGTAAGAGTGCAATAGAATGCACAGCAATCCACATATTGTTTTATTGGTATAGAAGCATTGAACATAGTATTATGAAAATAGCTATTAGATTTAAATACTTAAAAAATATATCCCAGACGACATCAATTAATATAATCAATCAAAGTAAAACTTTGAGCTTAGTACCAGTATGTATGTGGCCCTTGACTGTGTTGAGACATGAAGCTGGGCCGGAACCTGGCGCGGACATTCCTGGACTACTACAAGCTCATCGGCTACATCAGCGCCAAGCCTAGCAGCAGCATTGTCCCCAAGCCTGGGATGTACCGACACCGGGAGCGCCAGAACAATGACAGAGCAGTGTCAGAACCCAATGGGAGGAACCCCCTAGATGACACCAGGTACTACAGCCAAAGGTAGCTAGACAAGCAAAATAATTCTGAGAATTTATTTGGAATCCTGGAAATTAATAATACTGTGAAAAAGGATGAAGGGAACTTGATGATCCTGGGTGGGTGGAGTAGCCTGGTGAGGTAGTGAGGTGGAGTAGCCTGGTAGGGTAGCCAGGTGGTGTAACCTGGTGGGGTAGCCAGGTGGAGTAGTGAGGTGGAGTAGCCTGGTGAGGTAGCCAGGTGGAGTAGCCTGGTAGGGTAGCCAGGTGGTGTAACCTGGTGGGGTAGCCAGGTGGTGTAGCCAGGTGGTGTAACCTGGTGGAGTAGCCTGGTAGGGTAGCCAGGTGGAGTAGCCTGGTAGGGTAGCCAGGTGGTGTAACCTGGTGGAGTAGCCTGGTAGGGTAGCCAGGTGGTGTAACCTGGTGGAGTAGCCTGGTAGGGTAGCCAGGTGGAGTAGCCTGGTAGGGTAGCCAGGTGGTGTAACCTGGTGGAGTAGCCTGGTAGGGTAGTGAGGTGGAGTAGCCTGGTAGGGTAATGAGGTGGTGTAACCTGGTGGAGTAGCCTGATAGGGTAGCCAGGTGGAGTAGCCTGGTGAGGTAGCCAGGTGGAGTAGCCTGGTAGGGTAGCCTGGTGGTGTAACCTGGTGGAGTAGCCTGGTAGTGTAGTCAGGTGGAGTAGCCTGGTAGGGTAGCCAGGTGGAGTAGCCTGGTAGGGTAGCCTGGTGGTGTAACCTGGTGGAGTAGCCTGGTCGGGTAGCCAGGTGGTGTAACCTGGTGGAGTAGCCTGGTAGGGTAGCCAGGTGGTGTAACCTGGTGGAGTAGCCTGGTAGGGTAGCATGGTGGTGTAACCTGGTGGAGTAGCCTGGTCGGGTAGCCAGGTGGTGTAACCTGGTGGAGTAGCCTGGTAGGGTAGCATGGTGGTGTAACCTGGTGGAGTAGCCTGGTCGGGTAGCCAGGTGGTGTAACCTGGTGGAGTAGCCTGGTAGGGTAGCCAGGTGGTGTAACCTGGTGGAGTAGCCTGGTAGGGTAGCATGGTGGTGTAACCTGGTGGAGTAGCCTGGTAGGGTAGCCAGGTGGTGTAACCTGGTGGAGTAGCCTGGTAGGGTAGCCAGGTGGTGTAACCTGGTGGAGTAGCCTGGTAGGGTAGCCAGGTGGTGTAACCTGGTGGAGTAGCCTGGTAGGGTAGCCAGGTGGTGTACCCTGATGGAGTAGTCTGGTAGGGTAGCCAGGTGGTGTACCCTGGTGGAGAAGCCTGGTAGGGTAGCCAGGTGGTGTAACCTGGTGGAGTAGCCAGGTGGAGTAGCCAGGTTTTGTAACCTGGTGGAGTAGCCTGGTAGGGTAGCCAGGTGGTGTAACCTGGTGGAGTAGCCTGGTAGGGTAGCCAGGTGGTGTAACCTGGTGGAGTAGCCTGGTAGGGTAGCCAGGTGGTGTAACCTGGTGGAGTAGCCTGGTAGGGTAGCCAGGTGGAGTAGCCTGGTGGAGTAGTCTGGTAGTGTAGCCAGGTGGTGTACCCTGGTGGAGTAGTCTGGTAGGGTAGCCAGGTGGTGTAACCTGGTGGAGTAGTCAGGTAGGGTAGCCAGGTGGTGTAACCTGGTGGAGTAGCCTGGTAGGGTAGCCAGGTGGAGTAGCCTGGTAGGGAAACCAGGTGTAGTAGCCTGGTAGGGTAGCCTGGTAGGGTAGCCAGGTGGAGTAGCCTGGTAGGGTAGCCTGGTAGGGTAGCCAGGTGGAGTAGCCTGGTAGGTAGCCAGGTGGAGTAGTCTGGTAGGGTAGCCTGGTAGGGTAGCCAGGTGGAGTAGCCTGGTAGGGTAGCCTGGTAGGTAGCCAGGTGGAGTAGTCTGGTAGGGTAGCCAGGTGGAGTAGCCTGGTAGGGTAGCCAGGTGGAGTAGCCTGGTGGAGTAGTCTGGTAGGGTAGCCAGGTGGAGTAGCCTGGTAGGTAGCCAGGTGGAGTAGTCTGGTAGGGTAGCCTGGTAGGGTAGCCAGGTGTAGTAGCCTGGTAGGGTAGCCTGGTAGGGTAGCCAGGTGGAGTAGCCTGGTAGGGTAGCCTGGTAGGGTAGCCTGGTAGGGTAGCCAGGTGGAGTAGCCTGGTAGGGTAACCAGGTGGAGTAGCCTGGTGGAGTAGTCTGGTAGGGTAACCAGGTGGTGTAACCTGGTGGAGTAGTCTGGTAGGGTAGCCAGGTAGGGTAGCCAGGTGGAGTAGCCTGGTGGAGTAGTCTGGTAGGGTAGCCAGGTAGGGTAGCCAGGTGGAGTAGCCTGGTGGAGTAGTCTGGTAGGGTAGCCAGGTAGGGTAGCCAGGTGGAGTAGCCTGGTGGAGTAGTCTGGTAGGGTAACCAGGTGGTGTAACCTGGTGGAGTAGTCTGGTAGGGTAGCCAGGTAGGGTAGCCAGGTGGAGTAGCCTGGTGGAGTAGTCTGGTAGGGTAACCAGGTGGTGTAACCTGGTGGAGTAGCCTGGTAGGGTAGCCAGGTAGGGTAGCCAGGTGGAGTAGCCTGGTAGGGTAGCCAGGTGGAGTAGCCTGGTAGGGTAACCTGGTGGAGTAGCCTGGTAGGGTAGCCATGTGGTGTAACCTGGTGGAGTAGCCTGGTAGGGTAGCCATGTGGTGTAACCTGGTGGAGTAGTCTGGTAGGGTAGCCAGGTGGAGTAGCCTGGTAGGGTAGCCAGGTGGAGTAGCCTGGTAGGGTAACCTGGTGGAGTAGCCTGGTAGGGTAGCCATGTGGTGTAACCTGGTGGAGTAGCCTGGTAGGGTAGCCAGGTGGAGTAGCCTGGTGGAGTAGCCTGGTAGGGTAGCCAGGTGGAGTAGCCTGGTAGGGTAGCCAGGTGGAGTAGCCTGGTAGGGTAGCCAGGTGGAGTAGTCTGGTAGGGTAGCCTGGTAGGGTAGCCAGGTGGAGTAGTCTGGTAGGGTAGCCAGGTGGAGTAGCCTGGTAGGGTAGCCAGATGGAGTAGCCTGGTAGGGTAGCCAGGTGGAATAGTCTGGTAGGGTAGCCAGGTGGAGTAGCCTGGTAGGGTAGCCAGGTGGAGTAGCCTGGTAGGGTAGCCAGGTGGAGTAGTCTGGTAGGGTAGCCAGGTGGAGTAGCCTGGTAGGGTAGCCAGGTGGAGTAGTCTGGTAGGGTAGCCAGGTGGAGTAGTCTGGTAGGGTAGCCAGGTGGAGTAGCCTGGTAGGGTAGCCAGGTGGAGTAGTCTGGTAGGGTAGCCAGGTGGAGTAGCCTGGTAGGGTAGCCTGGTAGTGAAGCCAGGTGTAGTAGCCTGGTAGTGTAGCCAGGTGGAGTAGCCTGGTAGTGTAGCCAGGTGGAGTAGTCTGGTAGGGTAGCCAGGTGGAGTAGCCTGGTAGGGTAGCCTGGTAGTGTAGCCAGGTGGAGTAGCCTGGTAGGGTAGCCAGGTGGTGTAACCTGGTGGAGTAGCCTGGTAGTGTAGCCAGGTGGAGTAGCCTGGTAGTGTAGCCAGGTGTAGTAGCCTGGTAGTGTAGCCAGGTGGAGTAGCCTGGTAGTGTAGCCAGGTGGTGTAACCTGGTGGAGTAGCCTGGTAGTGTAGCCAGGTCTAGTAGCCTGGTAGTGTAGCCAGGTGTAGTAGCCTGGTAGTGTAACCTGGTGGAGTAGTCTGGTAGGGTAGCCTGGTAGTGTAGCCAGGTGGAGTAGCCTGGTAGGGTAGCCAGGTGGTGTAACCTGGTGGAGTAGCCTGGTAGTGTAGCCAGGTGTAGTAGCCTGGTAGTGTAGCCAGGTGGAGTAGCCTGGTAGTGTAGCCAGGTGGAGTAGCCTGGTAGGGTAGCCAGGTGGAGTAGCCAGGTGGAGTAGCCTGGTAGGGTAGCCAGGTGGAGTAGCCTGGTAGGGTAGCCAGGTGGAGTAGTCTGGTAGGGTAGCCAGGTGGAGTAGTCTGGTAGTGTAGCCAGGTGGAGTAGCCTGGTAGGGTAGCCAGGTGGAGTAGCCTGGTAGGGTAGCCAGGTGGGAAAGAGTAGTCAGCTATCGCTTGTCCTAGTGCTTCTCAATCCTACAATGAGGCTTACATTATCAATCACAGGTGTTGTCAAAGACCTGCATCACTTCAGGCTTTCCTCCCACATCAAAGTGACACACCATGTTATAAGTTAAATACTCTTCCAGGCAGAGGTAAACTTGTTTACTCTCTTTTAACTACAAGTTACCAGATATACTTGAGATGAAATTCACCAAGTATCATTATTCAAATTGTAGAATAATTATCCTTTTTGTCATATATGTCATGATTGTCCCCTATCATGAATGCCCAGTTCCTAATGAGACAATACTGTCTGTGTTTGGCAGATACGGAGATAAATCTAGTCGAGAAGAGAAGAGCTCCCGGCGAGGTGCCGACTACACCATCAACAGCAGCAGCAGCGCCTTCTCCGACACGCCGACATCCATCAGACTACAACTAAAGGAGAGAGATCGCAGATTCTAATCTGTGTATGGAATATGACAGTAATACATGATTAATCAAAATCCCTGACCTAGATCCTCCATGGTAGCTTCCAGTGTTCCTCCCGTCATTCACTTGTGGGATGTGATACTGTAGCCATAGATTACCCATACCCATCATGTTGTAATCCATTCCGGGTGTCACCACAGTGAAGTGACATAGGTGACGTGGGTGAAAGCAACATTTGAGTGACGGCAATGTACGAGTGTCCATTGCAAGTAGGGGAATGGCAGTGTTATTAATGGCTGATGGCCTTCTGTCTACAACCCTGATGACATGGACTTACGTAACATAATACCTGCCTCTGATCTCTCGTTGAAGATGCGTGCTGTATAGATGTATGGGAGTGATATTGTATCAGAATATGCATGGGCCTGACATCCAGCAGTGACTTTGAGCCCAGAAATACAGGACATGGTCAGAGTTCTTCATATCAAATAGGTTTTTGAAGCTAGAGGATACTAGGTAATGAATAGCAAGTAGTCACTGACGAAAGGGATTTCCAACGGAGAACTGTTAGACTTCACATTCCGATTGAACATCCTTTCATGTTTCAAATTAGCATCAATCTTGAAATCTTTCACGAAATTGTTAAGGAAGATAGCTGTCCTGAGTGGCAGACTGAAATAGGTTTCAGTGTGACAGAGTTAGCGTGATCTTCAGTGAACAGATTAAGAGGCCATTTATTCAGTGTCCAAAGTGATGTCACCAAGGCGTTGACCATCAGCTTCAGGACAATTAAAGACCAATGTTACCAAGGCTGTTGACCTTCACCTTCAGAACAATTGAAGATCAATGTCACCAAGGCGTTGACCTTCACCTTCAGAACAATTGAAGATCAATGTCACCAAGGCTGTTGACCATCAGCTTCAGGACAATTGAAGACCAATGTTACCAGGACTGTTCATCTTCATCTCAACATTTATATAGACAGAAAGGCCTAAGACGAAAATTTAAAAGTTCAAAAGTTCAAAGTGATTTCAGTTTTGAAGTAAACCAAGTTATGATCATGAATATCAAAGATACTTACTGTATGTATTTTTGTATACATATTCATCAAAATCTAAGCCTATGAAACATTTCATCATGCCTCACATCCCACTGAATGAAGTTTGGAAAATAAGTCAATATAGATATTTACTTCCTTAGTCCCTGCCAGAACACTAACAAAATATTATTTTTTAGCAAAAGAGTATTTTTAACCTGTGACTCATTCTAGATATTATTTTTCTATTATATTCTTAGAACCAGAAGTTTTTTGCCATTCTGATCTTTTGGCAATGAAAATGATTACAAATCTGTTTTGACGGGAATTCTGCGGCCTGTTACATGGACTGCCGACACGGTACAAGCACTTGGGGCATCCCGTCCTCCGTGAAATAGTCTGTTGTCCCCCACAACGCCAGGGATTGCAGGACTCTCTCAAATGGTAGTCCAGAGTAGCCGCCTATGTCACGGAACACTTGTCGCCATGTGCAGGGGAGGAGATGGCAATATATTCTCATAAACTTAAAATATCTGACAATATTTCATGCATATTAATTTATGGATTCATATTTATCATTGTCAATCAATACTACAGTACAGTATAATAACACAACAAATATTTGTTATGTTAAATATATTTTAGTTTTGATTGACATTGATAAACATGAATTTAATTATGGTGGTTAAATAATAGATAAATGGTTAAATAATATGTAAAATATTTAAAAATATTTGAAGCTTATATCATATTTTACCATGATATAGAGGTAGCCAGTATGCCTGTATCTCTATGCTTGTCATTGTGATAGTCCAGCAAGTGTTGTGTTGTTAAACTAGTATTGATCAAAGGGGAACAAAATGTTATTCTTGTATATTCCTCTAAGGATGTGCCAACAAAATGTTTTATTTTATTGTTTACACTTGGTTTCCTCACCATCAAGACTGTCCGTCCACTTTTAGAAAGCTTATATTATTTTACTACTTTTTTGTTTTCATAATATTGCATTATGTTTTTAATATGTACATAATATGACTAGACTGCATAATCTTGCACAATTTTTGTGTGTTCAAGTTGCATATTCACACTCAAATCGAATAGCAGCCTTTGAGATCTTCTTTTACAACTAATAGTCCCACTGGTACATTATTGTATTGCATAGCTCAGGTGAATAATGAGAATATGAAGATAGGGGGAATAGAAAGTAAGATGTCTGTATTATTCTTGATGTCCTTCTCACCGAGGTACAACGGGTGACAGATCAGTGACTCATCTGTCTTTGTTGTGAGGAATGCTGAATAATGAAACATCTTGGGGGTCATTTTTTGGATATGAAAGTATTATCGAGATATTTCTTTTTCTAAACAGGCAGCTGGACAAGACATGTTCCAAGAGGTGAAACACATTGTCTGTTGAGGATGCTGATGTAGTCTTTTTCGGGCACAATCCAATTATTTATGGTTTCATTGGCTGATCAGGCGAGATGTCTGTGTGTGGAAATTACATTACAGGCAAAGCTTATTGAATAAGCAACAAATCGTGAGTTTTTGACACTAACAGGAAAACATATTTGGAGGAGGACCTGTTTGACCTGCAGGGCTGTTCCTACTTGATCGTGTGTAATGTAAGGCAGGCAAAGATAATCAAGAGGCATCGTAACTTTTGTTTCCACAATTTCTTGAAGTATTTACCTCCCCAATTGCTGCTATTTTCTCAGCGCACTACTGGGTTATGGAATTATGTTTTTTGCACCAAACTTGAAGTTTATGAGTCTGATGTCGGGAAATGGTTTTTCGTACAATTTATAGACCTAGGCTTAGAGCAGGTGATACCGGGCACTGCACAGATACGCTATGTTCATATGTGAAGATTCTCTCTGTGTCTTTAAGTTTCTGGGGGCGGGTATGTTTATACTTGGGGAAGGTAATTTAAATCTTGCATGAGAGGAGATTTTACTATTTAGACAATTCTTTCTGTGTCTTTAAGTTTCTGGGGGCAGGTATGTTTATACTTGGGGAAAGGTCATTTAAATCTTGCATGAGAGGAGATTTTGCTATTTAGACAATTCTTTCTGTGTCTTTAAGTTTCTGGGGGCAGGTATGTTTATACTTGGGGAAAGGTCATTTAAATCTTGCATGAGAGGAGATTTTGCTATTTAGACAATTCTTTCTGTGTCTCTAAGTTTCTGGGGGTGGGTATGTTTATACTTGAGGAAAGGTCATTTAAATCTTGCATGAGAGGAGATTTTGCTATTTAGACAATTCTTTCTGTGTCTCCAAGTTTCTGGGGGTGGGTATGTTTATACTTGAGGAAAGGTCATTTAAATCTTGCATGAGAGATTTTACTATTTAGACAATTTGGCTCTGGGGTTGCATCGTTTTTCTGTTTTAAAAGTACATGTGATTTGGTTTCTGTTTTGTTAGTTTGTGTTTGTGGTCATAAATTGAAAGATTTGCCATTACCATTACCATTGTTAAGCACATCTCTGTCATTCCACATATTACAGTACACAATATATCTCAGTCCATGTTATAACTGTTGACAAAAAATGTGATATCTTGTGATTTGATGTGTTTAAAACATAGTGTATGTATTGTTTTCAAAGCTGACCTCAGTATCATTGAAATAGAAGAATACATGAACTTTTAACTGTCTTGTCATACATATTTTGGGCCATCATGAATTATTAGATGTCACCAAAATGTTTAAGAAGTGTGATGCAGGTGGGATCTTTTGTATATATATTTGTTTTAAACAACCAGTTCAAGACATCTGGGACGAATGTGATTCACAGGTCTCCAGTACCTCATGCTTGTCATAAGCTTGTTTGTTTGTTTAATGCTGCACTCAGCATTGTTACAGGTGTATGATAGCACTAAGTGATGTGATGGTGTTCGTAAATATCCCAGGCTGGACGGGAAAATCCAGTGCTGGACATTGTGAACAGCTATCCACAAGGACAAGTTAATGACCACGTCAACATGCCTGCATACCCAATTCCTGAAGCCACCTCAATCAGAATATCATTACTTGTCATAAGAGTTGGCTCATGAGGATCAGGTGGACACAATGGGGACCTAGCTCACTTGGATTGTTGCTCATGCTGTCAACCACGTCAGATTGTAAAATATCAAGGTTTTGTTTAGGCAATCTGACGTGATACAGCTTGAATATTTCTGACTGCTGCATAAAACAACATTCACTCCCTTATATAGGAGAAAGGTGGGAAGAGTTTTGTGATATTTGATTGTGTAGCACACTGTAATGTGAGGGCGACTTCTCTGAATGTGTGAGATGTCGGCTGGAGCAGTGACAGACAGCTTTATGCATGGATGTTGCTGAGCTGGATGAGGGGCCACTCTTCACACCTGACATAAGTGAGCCCACTTGCTAAAAGCCATTTGCCATGTCTAGCCAGGTTGTAGGCAAGGTGCGAAGTGGTTGTGGCGTCCAGGCAGCAATCACACCATGCTGTAGTCACACTAAGTGACCAATGTCTGTCCAAGATTAACTTGATCAGTGGGAGTGAACTGCACTGAGTTTGTGCAGCAGGGATAAGGTGTTATAGTGAGTGAGTGAGTATGGTTTTACGCCGCTTTTGGCAATGTTCCCGCAACATCAGAGCAGGGGACACCAGAAATGGGCTTCACACATTGTACCCACGAGGGGAATTGAACCTGGGTCTTCAGCATAACGAGCAAACGCTTTAACCACTAGGCTATACCACTACCCCGATAAAGTGTTGTAGCTCATCAAGCCTGAGTCAAATCCAGAACAGAGTGAGTGCACACAATACCCAAGTCACGGGTAAATAGGGGTTATGTCCAAGTGTGGTTGCACCTGGCGCAGGTGCCTAAGTAGTGTTGTCCATCTCTATGTCAGGCTATCATGACCAGGGTAGAAGTTCCTAGACCAAGGGTCACCTTGTGAAACAGTTGGATGGTGTAGTGACCAGAGTACTGCTCATGATAGCTGGATAAGCCAACAGCCATGACATGAAAGCCAAACATATTACATGTATTTGATCCATGGCTCATTACTGATACAAACTGTACCTTTTGTGAATGATTATGTTTGGGGCTGGTATTTGTGTCATACTTCACTACAAGGCAGGGCATGTTCAAAGGTGATGGATGACATTCAAATTGCATCCTCACCACTGGAAATATACATGTACACAAACCTGTGATAGTTACATGGCTAGAGAGCCCATTAAAGGGCATCGGTCTTGACTGATTATGTTTCATCACGCCCCAGTCTGCCCCAAACTTGAATATTTACAAGTCGTTACAAACGCTGGAGCACAAACAAACGTTGTCCAAGTGCAAGGAAAAACAAAACAACATTTGACATTGAGATATTTCATTTCTTTATTCATGATTTGCAATGACAAGTTTTACGACACATGTCCGACATACATTTCACTAACACATTGCAATATACAGCATCAATAACAACTTGACACCAGTGTTGACTTACAAAGATGAACCTGACAGGTCTACTGAGATAAATAATACTTGCATTGAATGTGATTAGATATGTCCATATACAAATGCATGCTTCCGCCTCAATCTACACCATCGATACGGAGATGAATTTGAACTACTATCACGCTGAGTGACCAAAATCGTTTCTAAAAAGTTGAGCAAGTTTAACAATAAGTTTCCACATAAAAGACATAATTGTAGTTTTGACTGAGTACCACTAAGGACAATTGTTTGACTGCAGCAGCATATACAGAATAATAAATAAAGCTGTTTACATGTGAGGAACTGTACAACATTGCAAGCAGTGAGTTTGTATATATGTCAATGTGTAAAATGACTGAAATTTTCACCAAGGCAATTTAAAAAACGCCAAAATATTTCAGTCATTTTACAATTATTTTTCCATTTGTTATATTATAACTTCCAAACATTTTCATGCTCTGTTTCATCACCCAAGGACTGAAAATGATAGGACTAAAAGAAAACGAAAGTCAATGTATTATTTTAGCATTTGGTTTACTTCTAATCCCAGCATAATTAGTCTATTGAAAACATTTTAACCCCTTTTGAACTTTGTACTAACTTTCAGTCTATGAACTGTCCTTAGGGCAGCTAGACTACCCTTCTACAAGGCCCATGTCAAGACTTTTCGTATATTCTTTTAGCATATCCTGGAATGAGTGTGGGAGTATGCTGAAATATAGGTTATTAGCGGCATAAAACCAATTTTCACAGTGAGGAACACCAGAAATAAGCTTCAAATATAGTTCCCATGTGGGGAGACAAACCCCGGGCAGGACAAGTGAATGCTACAAGACTATCCCACTGCCCCAAGAACCTGGAATTAGAATGGACCTTATTCCTAAATAAAACATCCATGTGATTGACAACTGACTACAGAATAACTAGCATATACCACCACACAAACAGTCAAGACTTTATTGCTGTCCTCTATATCAGCATCCATTCCTAATTACATTTTCTTGTGCCTCACACTTTTCAAGGCAATGTAATCAGAACCACACAAAGCCTTGTGTGCAACGTATAGAGACCAGGGTTAGAGTTATCTCCCTTGTTAACACACTTAAAATCTCAAGCATAAAGGCATCACTGTTTTGTTAACAGCAAAACTATTGACGCATAAGCATGTAGAGCAAAGCAGTGTACTGATGGCAACTTTAGCCTAGGCATAAATTATGTCGAGTATTAAAAACAAATATCCTGTTCAATATCACTACATCATCTCGCATGCTTCCCAGACATGGACAACTTCGTCTTAAATATCCCTGTTAAACTGATGTTTCATTTTATCCTCATCACTGGTCCATTGTCCACCAAACATGTAACATCTGAGTTGAAAGACACTGGCTGCTCCTTGGTAAACCTGGTGTGGATCAAAGCATAGCGCAAACCCATATCCAACAGTACATATCTCAATACAGTGAAACATTTTCATCACCCTTTGTTCCCTGTCAAACAAGCTGGGACCACGATCATTTTATTTTCTAATCTCAAAAGTTGCTGATACAGATTAGTTTGATTGAAAACAATTCATCCTGGTCAGACACCATACACCTGCAGTGTGCAAATAAGTGCCTGCCTGGTAGCCTGTGACTACTTTCTTTTCAAACTGGCAAGTGAAAATAACAACCCAATTTTCTGTCTAACATGAAAAGAGAAGGAATTTCTTGCCCAAATGGTCAGAATTTAAATGGCTGAGCTCAAAGATGTACTGGAACATTGTGTCATGCTTGTTCGGGCGCCTTGTCACTAGTTCTGTAGGAGACTGATATTGACTCAGACAACAGGTTTCTAACTTTGTTGAAACGTGAACACCTTTTCTCTGCTACCAAATTTCTCCTTGTATTTGGTTGTTTAAAAGTAACCAGCTACTCAAATCTAAAATCAGCTAAGACTGCTCTAGCCAGCCTAATCGGCTACTACTGTTGTGCAACTATTTCACACACTGTATCCGGCATATGGTCTCGGTCCGGTTTACCCAATGCACATGGATTGCGCTATGTTGCCATTTCTGCAGCAAAAGCTAAATAAATAAAAACTGATATTTCAACATCCTTCACAACATCAAAATATTAAACCCAGTTTTAACAGGATTCTGTATTCAATCCAGCGAGACAGTCATTGCAAGCACAAGTTAAAATATTCAGCTGTATGCTGATCAGTGTCGAGGTGAGGAAGAAACACTACATCTACAGTCAACATTTCATGAGCCAATGGTTGACTTTCATGCAGGAAGATATCGGAAAATACTTTGAACACCTGTATGTGGGAAACAAGTAAACACTTCATCAAATTGATGACATTTACCTATACATGCAAGGTTTACCTATACAGAAGGGCACAACAAGTCGGGACCATATGTAAATCATGATTAGCAGAAAAATGCTTTCATTATTGTAAATGAATGATTGTATCTGGGCAAATCTCCAAAGGTCAACATTACACCAACATCACAATGAAATATTTAGAAATGTCATTTGCAGCGTCTTGTCTGTGAACTTGTCTGTGGAGGTATGGTGTGGGTTGTGATGAATTTCTTGCATTACTGGAATACAGGTGCTCATTTTCATCCTGGAAACTCAACAGTCCATCTTCATGAACTCAAGAGGTGAGACAGAATCATGCAGGAAGTGTGGTGAAGGATATGGACTTCATGAATTCATGATACTTTGGTCCCGTGTTACAAGATGTAGAATGAATTCAATCACTGCATGGTCATCTTAGCAGATAGGTATCTTTTTAACAGTTAATCTAGAAATATTTCACATACGAAATGTACTTTTTAATCTAAAGAATAGGTTATTAACCTAAAAAAAAGCAGTTTACATATTCTGCATTGGAACCGCTGAAAAATTTGGCACTCTAGTGACAACATTGATGAAAAAAATAACTTTTCACAAAAATAATTCAAGCATAAAGAATTCCATTACATCCTCTAAGCATGAGATTTAATTTATGTACATAGTTTATCCTAATCTCGAACCATGTTGATCACAAATGCTAGCACTATAGTCACTACATAAACTGTTAGAGCAGTGGCGGTTCCACACATACCGCCCTCTGACATCACACACATCATCAGTCAGAGTTATTCCTGACTCAACATACTTATGGTCCATTTCAACTCCATCTATTGAATTAATTCCACACTAAGGGACATGATGCATAAAGGGATGGGTCGGAGAGGGTTGCGAACTCCAGACAGACGTACACAAATGGACAGTCATTTTCTAGTTAAATCAACATCCTATTTGTTACAATTTCATGTTAACAAACTACAAGGATGTAGTCAGAAATATTTCAAATATAAGGAAATGGTCGCATAAACACTGATACACATTTCGGAGTAATCTTTTTAACTCTAGTGAATTGAAATCTTCGGTCAACCCATCCCTATCATAAATGAGAAATCTCTCCGTAGATGGGACAATGATATGCTTCAGATGGACAAATAATTATGGCCTTAATTTCATACAAATTGGAAATATTTCTATATATGAACTCAATTCACCTGATGTTGACTTTCTTTCACATGAAGACTTTCATTATTTGTGCTAAGTCTTTAAAACTAACGACAACAACAGAGATTTGATAGGAAAGTCCATACTAACCACTGATTATATCTCTGATGCCTTGATGAGACAGACATACTAAATGTATCATACAAGACATTTTGAATTATTTGTATATTTCTAAAATGAAAAATCTGTTTGAATTTTCATGGAAAATTCTATTCAACAAGTTCTGTACTGAAGGAAAATGCATTGCAAAGACCATCACTGTGAAATATTTGATGAAGAATAACAGAAAAATTATCCATGAAAGGGTAATGAGAGAAATTCGAACCCAAACAAAATATAAATGTGGAAGATAAACATTGGTTAAATTTCTGAGCATAGAGTTCTTTAATGAACACAAATTGTAGATTGAATATATCCAAACAAAAGCAAGTTGAGTGACAATTGTGGCATAAGGGAGGTAACTCTTAGTGTTTGCCAAAACATTTCAATATTTCTCCTTTCTGAGTATTTGGGAAACGTAAAATACATAAAATCACAGGTGAAAAACTAACATACTTAAAACAACATATTTAAGAACATAATTGCTAAAAGGTTCGATTGTTGCTGCTTTATAGAATCTCAAACTGTACTGTTGTCCACTGATGCCAAAGTCGTAACTTGAAACTCTGTGGTTAGAAATCAGTCTCGGAATAAAATAATGGTACAAAGACAAACATGAGTTTACAAACATATGATAAAACAATTCTGTACATTCACAATCTGATACGAATATCTGTGCAGACAACAATGATATGCATGTGTTAGTGTGAACAAGGACAGTCCTTGCTATGTACACAGCTGAGGGAGTCTAGCAATGAAACCATCTGTTAGGAGCTGTGAGAGACATCCAGGCCTTACAGCCTTCATTACAACATAGTGGAAGTATCTTTCTACATTTGTCGGTTGATGTTAAGCAGTTCAAAAGTTTGATGCTGAATAAAAACAATTAATTCCTTAAGTTTTCAGATATACCCCTACACGCTGAAAACCTAATATTGAAGATGCTGACATTTGAAGAGAGATTCCTTAAGACAGAAAAACACAAATCAAAGTACCATTGTATTAACAAATAAAAGTACCATTGTATTAATTGTATCAACACATATATGCAGAGCAATACCAACACCAACACGCCAGAGATTTTGGAACTGGCACAATCTTTCATCTTGTCCTACTTACCATAATGGCAGAGGTGGTGCTGCTTAATCACAGGGTAAAGATGCGATTATTAGAACTGTTATTGGACTTGAACAGTAAAAAACCTGAAAGTTGATTATGTTGGATGGAAAACTTGCAGACCTGTTAACCCCAAACTTTAGGAGTTCAGAGTTTATCCAACACTGAACTTTTGACTAGCTCCCTAACCTTATCTGTTATTTCCTGATAATCTGGCTTTATGGAGCAAACATAGTCTGGTCCTATAGCATTGAGGTACATGGGCACAACCTCTGAACAGTCAGTGCTTATAGAACAGGCCCCGGGGGTATAGCGAATTATTCCTGGCAGTAAAGTCTGAAAGAGACATTCACCAACGATTATTTTGAAAAAGAAATATCATTTTGAGTATTTGCCTTGATTATTGAGATTTAAAAATGGTTGAAATTGAAAATCACTCAAGAAAAGGTTTGTGGGCAATTTGTACAATACTTTGATTAAACTTATACATCAGAGAAAGAAACCTGATATAGTTACTAAGAAACACAGGCTCTGATTATTTACAATTTTGACAGCCTGTGGAAATCGACAACATCTAATCACATCACATTATTATCACACCAGTATCGGAGAAAGAAGGTAAAGAGCAACATATCGTCATCTTCTCTCATTCAGAACATCTCATACTTGTGACAGTAAATTTGACATCCTTCGATGATAAGCCTCTATTTGGATCTTGTTCCCATGGCAACCTGATATATATATATATAAACAGTTTCACATATTCACAAATATACAGTATATGTACATTTTGCTATTGGCAATGTCGCTTCTCAGTTTGGCACAGTGGTTGAGATTTATTTCCCAGTAACATTCCTATAGGATGGCTAGACCTTCTTAGTCTTAACTTATAGAACAATCATTGGACTTCTCATCTTTTGCCACAACTTCCTCAGTATCCGACACGGCCTCCTGACTGTCTGAGCGCATGGACTGAGCTACCGGTGAGGCGTTTTCTTCGTCCAGTGTGGGGGAGTCACATGGCGGGATGCTGACATCCAGCAACGACTGGGACTGCTCAACCACCTTCTCCAGCACTTGAATCTGACTCTTGATAGAATGGAAGAATGCCTTGTACCCCATGCTGCAAACACCAAACAGAACTGTTCACACAAGTTGTTCTACATAGTGAAACCCACTTGATACATGGTCCAACACTAAAGAGTCTTCTCTCTAAGGTTTATGATTGTGGGTCTGAATCCTGGTTTGTCAGCACCATACCCGTGCCTGTGGGTTTCACCGAAGTGGTAAACGTCTTCGACCTGCATCACTTCAGGCTTTCCACCAGGCTGACACGCCGTGATATAACTGGAATGCTGTTAAAAGCAGTGTTAAACCAAACTCACTCACTTACTCTAAGGCTTAAACAAATAAAAGAACTGGTTCTCAGGCAATGAGCTATGAATTTGTTTACAATGCCAAGTCGTTATTGTGAGCACGAAACACCGGAAGAAGCATGTCAACAAATATGTACTGAAGTACGCAAGTTAGTCCTGTTATTACCCTATCTGGCTATAAAAGTGTTCATTGCGTATCTGGACTTACGTTTGTTATCCATAATATTACTTTTATCCAAGATTACATTCAATTCTGTTTACATCAATTTCGGGGAAATCATGTTTGAACTGATCGGCAAATCACATCAACTCACCATGAACCCGCCTTGAAACAAACATTAGTCATTAGAGATACAACGCTTTGTTCTTCCTATCACTGTATTGAAATTTCTTTTCCGTTGTGATATTTGCCATGACATTAAGTATATCTTAAACTAATTCACCCATACGTAGGGGAGAAAATGTGTGTAGAGCTGATTTCTATTTTAATGTAATCTTAATCTCTGTATATGAAACATTGTCCAGCATACAGTACACAAATACCATTGAATTTGTAAATCATCATGTCCAGTGATGTTTTATCGTAAAACTTCAAGGTTTTCATTGACCAAATTTTCTAAATGCAAAACAAGCACACAAACTCCTATTGCCAGCATGACCATAACAAATATCACTAATGTTATGTCAGCTTGCTGTGGGGAGGATGGAAGTGATGCAGGTGAAACCACAGGCATGGGTATGGTGCTGATAAACCAAGAAACATAATCAGTGCGAATCTAGGATCTGAACCCGTGATTGGTTCCTGGCTCATCAAGGGCCACAACTCTGCACAAAATATTCGCACCTTAGATGACTGGGCCTCCTGAGACCCTTCTGTTCATTTTAATGTCTGTTTTTTTTAAAGCAGAACTCAGCAATATTCCAGCTATATGACAGTGATCTGTAAATAATTGAGTCTGGACCAGACAATCCAGAGATTGACATCATGAGCATCAATCTATGTAATTGGGATATGATGACATGCATCATCCACCCGAACCCTTTAGTCACCCCTTATGACAAGCAAAGTCACCTTTTACGGCAAGAATGGGTTGCTGAAGACCTATTCTAACCCGGATCTTCACGGGTCTTCAGATCTTTAATGGAATAATGGGTTATGTGTAGAGACATCACTTCAAAATTTGGGTTCCTTAATATCAACACTTTATTCCTGAGCATGGAATAGCTGTATAATAAGTTGAGAAACTGAGACCTAAGAAACTCACTTCCTTGAACTTTCTCTTTGCACAAGTCTTTACAAAAATGACTCTTCTAATTTTTACTGCAAATGGAGACATGTCCTGTGAACAGCTCTATCTTACAGACAGCAATTCCACCAAATGCTAGTGGAATTGTAGCAAGAACATTATCCTCTTTCTGCTCTAAAACATGCAAATTAGGTTTCACAGTAAGCAAATGGTTGTGTTGCTGATGATGTGATTGCCAGTACACAGTTGAGTGTAAGCACACAATCTCATGTATACAGTTCTGACCACCATACACCAGACAGTGGTCAGTTAGTCTGCACCCACCACTCTGTGTCTGCCCACAGCTCCAGGTAGGACAGCCCCTCCCTCATCCTGGCCGCCATGTCCAGGGGCGTGTCTGTCAGACTGGCTGTGTTCACCGTCCTCGTCACCCCCAGCGTGTCCCGCAACACCGTGGCCATGATGAGAGCCCACTCCAGACAGCCAGCTTCCAACATGATCTGGAGGAGGTACCTGCAGGAGACAAGGCATGGATGTCACACCCACCATACAGGGAGGTACATACATAGGGGCACTGTGAACACTTGTCATGTAGAATTCTACAATAAATGTGTATGCATTCATTCTCTAAGAAATAGTTGTCAACCTGTGGTCCTGGTGACAACATCCTGGCCTATACTGCCCTATGACTCAATGCTTGGTTGTTCTAATACTTCTAATACCTTTGATAACTTCAAGATATAGAAGAGTGACATCCATTGCCCATTTAACAATGAAAGATGAAAAGGGAAATTTGTAACTTCAGAGTACACTGGTCAATGCATGTCCCTGGCTTGTCAAGGCTTATCACCACTCCCTGGCTTGTCAAGGCTTATCACCACTCCCTGGCTTGTCAAGGCTTATCACCTCACCCTGGCTTGTCAAGGCTTATCACCTCTTCCTGGCTTGTCAAGGCTTATCACCTCATCCTGGCTTGTCAAGGCTTATCACCACTCCCTGGCTTGTCAAGGCTTATCACCTCATCCTGGCTTGTCAAGGCTTATCACCACTCCCTGGCTTGTCAAGGCTTATCACCTCATCCTGGCGTGTCAAGGCTTATCACCTCACCCTGGCTTGTCAAGGCTTATCACCTCACCCTGGCTTGTCAAGGCTAATCACCTCTTCCTGGCTTGTCAAGCCTTATCACCACTCCCTGGCTTGTCAAGGCTTATCACCACTCCCTGGCTTGTCAAGGCTTATCACCTCTTCCTGGCTTGTCAAGCCTTATCACCACTCCCTGGCTTGTCAAGGCTTATCACCACTCCCTGGCTTGTCAAGCCTTATCACCTCTCCCTGGCTTGTCAAGCCTTATCACCACTCCCTGGCTTGTCAAGGCTTATCACCTCATCCTGGCTTGTCAAGGCTTATCACCACTCCCTGGCTTGTCAAGGCTTATCACCTCACCCTGGCTTGTCAAGGCTTATCACCTCTTTCTGGCTTGTCAAGCCTTATCACCACTCCCTGGCTTGTCAAGGCTTATCACCACTCCCTGGCTTGTCAAGCCTTATCACCACTCCCTGGCTTGTCAAGGCTTATCACCTCATCCTGGCTTGTCAAGCCTTATCACCACTCCCTGGCTTGTCAAGGCTTATCACCTCATCCTGGCTTGTCAAGCCTTATCACCACTCCCTGGCTTGTCAAGGCTTATCACCTCACCCTGGCTTGTCAAGGCTTATCACCTCACCCTGGCTTGTCAAGGCTTATCAAGGCTTATCACCTCTTCCTGGCTTGTCAAGCCTTATCACCACTTCCTGGCTTGTCAAGGCTTATCACCTCATCCTGGCTTGTCAAGGCTTATCACCACTCCCTGGCTTGTCAAGGCTTATCACCTCATCCTGGCTTGTCAAGGCTTATCACCTCACCCTGGCTTGTCAAGGCTTATCACCTCTTCCTGGCTTGTCAAGCCTTATCACCACTCCCTGGCTTGTCAAGGCTTATCACCACTCCCTGGCTTGTCAAGGCTTATCACCTCACCCTGGCTTGTCAAGGCTTATCACCTCTTCCTGGCTTGTCAAGCCTTATCACCACTCCCTGGCTTGTCAAGGCTTATCACCTCATCCTGGCTTGTCAAGGCTCATCACTATTCCCTGGCTTGTCAAGGCTTATCACCTCATCCTGGCTTGTCAAGGCTTATCACCACTCCCTGGCTCGTCAAGGCTTATCACCACTCCCTGGCTTGTCAAGGCTTATCACCACTCCCTGGCTTGTCAAGGCTTATCACCTCTCCATGGCTTGTCAAGATACAAAGTTATATTTTTTGGCCATATTTTCTTTTGGCTAACACATTATGCAATTCCTTCCCAGCATGTGAAACTTAATCACACTCTTGGGAACATCGCTGCTGTCAGTTTGGAAGCCGCCATTACAAGAATCTAACCCCTAATTGTAGACACATTTGTATATTTGTTTTTGTCTATGGGAATGGCATCATAGTGAATGTTGAAAAGGTTTACGACTGACCAGATTTGCCAAATGAATTATCCTTTTCGTTTGTTTAATCTGATTTGTTCGAGATTGCAGACAAATGGAAAAATCCCCCAAGTTTAACCTTACATTCTTACTTTACCAATTACATGATAGTGGAAATGAAATAGAAAATCAAATTGACAACAAAGAAAATTATTTAGGTGGGGTAAGAGTATTCAGTGTCACAGTCACCACTTGTTTGGAAACATAATGGTCCAACTCCAAGCATGGTTGTGGCCACCTATCACAGTGGGGAGCTTTGGCAGCGATAGCATAGAGAGCTCCGCGAAAGAGCTATGGCTGTGAGGAGCTTGACCACATGCTATCACTTACGGTTTCTTTAGACGCTTGATGTTGACAGTATCCTTGGCTTCCTTAAATACCATGTTGAGTATGTATATAGATTCTATGAGATTGTGATTTAATTGTGTGACATAGTGGGGCAGTTAGTTTCTGGGTAAGAGTTGCCTCGGAGATGGTGTGTTATAGTGGCCGAGTCGACTGTGTCTCTGTCTGCATCATATTGTTCTTTGGTTATGTTGATTGCAACGTAGGCCTATTGAAGTAGAACATCATGCTTATCATGAAACACTGACATGACACCATCCCCTGACTTGCTGAGGTTTACAAGAGTAAACACAAAACTGCCCTACAGCTCTTTCAATACATACTCCCAGCACCCTGAACAACATGCCAGCCTATAGGAGTAGAGCCAGCCTACCTGAGTTCCACCTCAGACTGTACAGGCCCCTTGTTCGCAATCTCCTGTGACATGTGCTCGATTTCTGGCGTGACATGGTCGCTGTTGAGCGTGTCGTTGACCACTTCGTACTCCCCCAGTAGAGAACTGCTGTCGGACACCTCAAGGGTGGCAACACTACTGTCTTCAGCTGTGGACAGTGGACAGTGAGGTATCAGATCACAGTTAACACAAATAGGAATGATGAACTTACTTTAATCAACCTGCATGAAAGCCTTACATATCTGCTTCAAGACAAAAACTGATAAAAATGTAATATCCCTGTTCCTATCCACAATAGCTTTGTTTGCCTGTTGTTTAACACCGCACTCAGCAATATTCCAGCTATATGACTGCAGTCTGTAGATAATACACTGATTGACATCATGAGCACCAATCTACGCAATTGGGATATTAGTCAGTTAGCCTGACCACCTGCTCTTGTTAGTCACCTCTTACAACAAGCATGAGTTGCTGAAGACCAAATCTAACACAGATCTTCACAGGTGTTATCACAATAGAGGAAACACAAGCTACTCATCTCAAATCTGAAGTCATTGCCTCAGAAACAAAGGTGATCATAGACGATTACAACTAATGAAACCCACAAGCACCAGAAAGTTACTGACTAGGTCATAAACAAAATGAATTTGGGGTTAAACTCAATGACTTGTGAGTATAACTCTTCATAACACTTTGCAACACTATAGATCACAGAGCTAAAGTTATAGGAAATATATCTGACTGTGACTGTTCCAACTTACTCTTGGAATGCTGTGGTCTGAGGAACACATCGTCCGACGTGGACTGGGACATGAGCGACTCAGTGGGAGGCGGTCGGACAGTGCAGAATGGCGTCAACAGTACCGGATCCTGGCTGTCTGTCATGGGCTTGTCGCTGTCACTCAGCGGACTAGCCGTGTCCTCCTCTAACAATGATGACCCAAGACTAGATGACGAATCTGAAAGTATTTGTCCGTGTCATTCATTTTCAAACATTGAAACACAAAAAGGAAACTTAAACCACACATTCCTCTCATATTTAGGATGAATAACAGCAATTTAATCCATGGAAAACAGGGAGCAAACAGTCTTCTTCACTATGCTGTTACACAAGGAGCCCTGAAATATCAATGTCAGAATACACAGAACTCTCATTAACTTAGGAAATCCTGAAACGACTTGTGCAGGTTATCAAATCATTACAGGAACAAGTCAGGTCACTGGACAGATAATGCAAATGCTACTTATCAAGTCTCTAAAATCTAAAATCAGCATCTAAAAGTTGGAATAACAGTTGTATGTCTTTAAATGCTCTCTAAACTTTGCTGACAAAGACCCCCTGTGGCGTACCAAGAATACACAACTCATTCTACATGTACGATGATACCCCAGGGGGTAGTCACTTCCTACACAAGTCTACTGGTCTGTGATTGTGACGTACATGCCAGACTTTTCTTCAGTTGATGGTAGGATAGGATGGGCAGTGGCCAGTCAAACTGCTGATGGATGTCCCGCAGGGCTGTCACAAAGTCATCAAGCTTGGCTGCACGAACCCTGCAACACAACATTCAGTCTGTTGTATCATCTGAAGCACGACATGGAGCACACTGCTAGGCCAGTACTGTGACTGGAGATGGGTTTCATGTAGTTCAGACGATTGTCTGACTCTACTGTTAGTGAGAGAGTCTTGTTTAACAGTCTTTTAAGTGAGTGAGTGAGTGAGTGAGTGAGTGAGTGAGTGAGTGAGTGAGTGAGTGAGTGAGTGAGTGAGTGAGTGAGTGAGTGAGTGAGTGAGTGAGTGGGTGTTGAACAATGATTTTAAATGTATTTCAGCCATATTCTGGTACATCAGTCTAGCATGTCTTAATGTGTGAGGAATGCCCTTAGAGGCACAGGTCATCAACATTTACCACTTTGCTACAGTAAACATACGTGGGTAGAGCTCTCCATGGCCAACAGTTAGCTGCTTAATTGTAGCTAGGTACTGCTCAGCTTCCACCACCAGAAATCTACAGGGAGGTGATACACTGCAATGAATGTGTGGATTGGTGTGAAGCTGACATTAATATATGAGTGATGGAAAACCCAAGACTTCACCCTCTGTCTGTGTATCTTACCTCTCCCTCCGCAGCCAGGAGACGAGCTGGAAGTCGTCCATGTTGGAAGAGTAGTAGCCTAGCGTCCGGATCTGGTTGGAGCTGAGCAGTTTGCGTGCATGCCGACAAAGGATCATATCTATATACACCTGCTCCGCCGTTGGCTCGTTCATCTTCCCCTTGCCTGACACCGACCTAGAACACCAAGGGGCAACAGTAACCATCATTATCTTCCTAATGGGGGCTTCTCTTACTCTTAGCTTGGATTAGGGTGCCTGATTGACTTCACTGGGGAGTCCTGACCTTTGTTCCATAAAGATGTCTCTACAACTAACAGTTGGAGTAGACGCCAGTCTTAACGCTAAGATCACTTTACAAATATTGGGCGCAGATCAATCCCATGGGCCACTAAAAAATATGAAGAACTCACGAGCTACGAGGTATAGCTTCCAAAATTCAACATTGACAAACTAGAAGTGAGTTCCAGAAAGTGATCTTTGATAAAAACTGATAATAGTCTTAGCGCTAAGGTTGCAGTTCACAACACACAAGTTAGATTTAATATAGTTTGGAATCATCCAATTATTTTTTTGCAGAGATTTCTTATGAATTAGAAAAGGGTTTTGTTGTTTCTATTTATGAACTTTATTGTTACAAAACATAATATGAATACATTTCACTAAAGTTTGATTGTCATAAGCTCTTCAAGGGGAGCTCCATTTTCATTCAATGTCTTTCTATTTAGTGCCCTGTGTGAAACTGTGACAGCTTCTCTGGGTTGTTAAGGTATTCATTAACACTATGTACATAATTAAATTTTAGTTAACAGATACCCAAATTTAAACTTGCATCGAATTTGCCGGAGCCTAGTCTGCCTCTACAGATGACCAAAGCCAGACATATAACTACACAAAGTATTATTTATTTAACTCACCCTTTTCTAACCAAAGGGTCAGAGGCAGTGTGTTTGAGCTTGTCTTTTGGTTTCGGCAGATCTCGGACTGGGTCAGCCACCATGCTGGACGTCCGCACTCGGCCCACGTTGCTGACATTACTGAAGTTAAATCCTCCTGCGTCTGTTGGTGAGATCGGCGGACTGAGAGAGGCTGCTGGGTAGGAGGACCCTGATCCCACTCGACTGAACATTCCTATTGGTGGAGACATCTCCGCTTCATTTGGATCTGAAAATAACAAGGATTTATATGACACTGTTTAAATCTGTTTAGTACAAGAGAAGGTTAATCAATACATGATTGAAAACATAATTTATGATTTTGTGCATAGCCAGCATGGCTGAGTTGGGTGTTTTTATTGTTTAACACTGCACTCAGAAATAGTCCAGCTATATGATGGCGGTTTGTAAATAATCAAGACAGACAATCCAGTGATTGACATCATGAGCATCGATCCACGCAAATGGGATACAATGACATGTAATCAACAAGTCACCAGGTCTGACCACCCGATCCAGTTAGTTGCCTCTTAAGACAAGCATGGGGACCTATATTCTTACCTTAAAAGTGATAGAGTGATTGTTGTGTGTTAGCAGTAATGAGCCATTGACGAGGGACACTGGAATTGAAGCTAGGTCTTCGGAATGATAAGCAAATCTTTAACCATGGCACCAGCTAACGGCTAACGGAGTGAGTAAGTATTGTATCAAGTGTACAGCTACTCAAGATGTTCCCTGCAAGGGGGTTGTTAGACTACATGTGAGGCTGGTGAGTGTTGTATCAAGTGTACAGCTACTCAAGGTGTTCCCTGCAAGGTTGATGTTAGACTACATGTGAGGCTGGTGAGTGTTGTATCAAGTGTACAGCTACTCAAGGTGTTCCCTGCAAGGGGGTTGTCTGACTACATGTGAGGCTGGTGAGTGTTGTATCAAGTGTACAGCTACTCAAGGTGTTCCCTGCAAGGGGGTTGTCTGACTACATGTGAGGCTGGTGAGTGTTGTATCAAGTGTACAGCTACTCAAGGTGTTCCCTGCAAGGGGGTTGTCTGACTACATGTGAGGCTGGTGAGTGTTGTATCAAGTGTACAGCTACTCAAGGTGTTCCCTGCAAGGGGGATGTTAGACTACATGTGAGGCTGGTGAGTGTTGTATCAAGTGTACAGCTACTCAAGGTGTTCCCTGCAAGGGGGTTGTCTGACTACATGTGAGGCTGGTGAGTGTTGTATCAAGTGTACAGCTACTCAAGGTGTTCCCTGCAAGGGGGTTGTCTGACTACATGTGAGGCTGGTGAGTGTTGTATCAAGTGTACAGCTACTCAAGGTGTTCCCTGCAAGGGGGTTGTCTGACTACATGTGAGGCTGGTGAGTGTTGTATCAAGTGTACAGCTACTCAAGGTGTTCCCTGCAAGGGGGATGTTAGACTACATGTGAGGCTGGTGAGTGTTGTATCAAGTGTACAGCTACTCAAGGTGTTCCCTGCAAGGGGGTTGTCTGACTACATGTGAGGCTGGTGAGTGTTGTATCAAGTGTACAGCTACTCAAGGTGTTCCCTGCAAGGGGGATGTTAGACTACATGTGAGGCTGGTGAGTGTTGTATCAAGTGTACAGCTACTCAAGGTGTTCGCTGCAAGGGGGTTGTCTGACTACATGTGAGGCTGGTGAGTGTTGTATCAAGTGTACAGCTACTCAAGGTGTTCCCTGCAAGGGGGATGTTAGACTACATGTGAGGCTGGTGAGTGTTGTATCAAGTGTACAGCTACTCAAGGTGTTCCCTGCAAGGGGGTTGTCTGACTACATGTGAGGCTGGTGAGTGTTGTATCAAGTGTACAGCTACTCAAGGTGTTCCCTGCAAGGGGGATGTTAGACTACATGTGAGGCTGGTGAGTGTTGTATCAAGTGTACAGCTACTCAAGGTGTTCCCTGCAAGGGGGTTGTCTGACTACATGTGAGGCTGGTGAGTGTTGTATCAAGTGTACAGCTACTCAAGGTGTTCCCTGCAAGGGGGTTGTCTGACTACATGTGAGGCTGGTGAGTGTTGTATCAAGTGTACAGCTACTCAAGGTGTTCCCTGCAAGGGGGATGTTAGACTACATGTGAGGCTGGTGAGTGTTGTATCAAGTGTACAGCTACTCAAGGTGTTCCCTGCAAGGGGGTTGTCTGACTACATGTGAGGCTGGTGAGTGTTGTATCAAGTGTACAGCTACTCAAGGTGTTCCCTGCAAGGGGGTTGTCTGACTACATGTGAGGCTGGTGAGTGTTGTATCAAGTGTACAGCTACTCAAGGTGTTCCCTGCAAGGGGGTTGTCTGACTACATGTGAGGCTGGTGAGTGTTGTATCAAGTGTACAGCTACTCAAGGTGTTCCCTGCAAGGGGGATGTTAGACTACATGTGAGGCTGGTGAGTGTTGTATCAAGTGTACAGCTACTCAAGGTGTTCGCTGCAAGGGGGTTGTCTGACTACATGTGAGGCTGGTGAGTGTTGTATCAAGTGTACAGCTACTCAAGGTGTTCCCTGCAAGGGGGATGTTAGACTACATGTGAGGCTGGTGAGTGTTGTATCAAGTGTACAGCTACTCAAGGTGTTCCCTGCAAGGGGGTTGTCTGACTACATGTGAGGCTGGTGAGTGTTGTATCAAGTGTACAGCTACTCAAGGTGTTCCCTGCAAGGGGGATGTTAGACTACATGTGAGGCTGGTGAGTGTTGTATCAAGTGTACAGCTACTCAAGGTGTTCGCTGCAAGGGGGTTGTCTGACTACATGTGAGGCTGGTGAGTGTTGTATCAAGTGTACAGCTACTCAAGGTGTTCCCTGCAAGGGGGATGTTAGACTACATGTGAGGGTTGTAGTGAGAGACTGACCTATGGCCTTGAGGAACCTGACCAGGTCCCGACACAGCTCCCACTTGCCGGCGTCCAGCGACGCATCCAGCAGGAGCGTAGCGTGCTGTGAAACAGAGGACAAACATATTACCACACATAATGCATTGTATCAGTTCTACTAATGCATCAGCCAATGTACAAGGTTAATTATAACCCACTAACTGTTACTCATAATCACTCTCACCTGTCTGCCGACCTCAACCCCACCCTTCTGCTGACCCCTCTCACCTCTCTGCTGACCACAACCCCACCCTTCTGCTGACCCCTCTCATCTGTCTGCTGACCACAACCCCACCCTTCTGCTGACCCTGCTCATCTGTCTGCCATCCTCAACCCCACCCTTCTGCTGACCCCTTTCACCTCATAGCTGACCACAACCCCACCCTTCTGCTGACCTCAACCACACCCTTCTGCTGACCCCTCTCATCTGTCTGCTGACCACAGCCCCACCCTTCTGCTGACCCCTCTCATCTGTCTGCTGACCTCAACCCCACCCTTCTGCTGACCCCTCTCATCTGTCTGCTGACCACAACCCCACCCTTCTGCTGACCCCTCTCATCTGTCTGCTGACCTCAACCCCACCCTTCTGCTGACCCCTCTCATCTGTCTGCTGACCACAACCCCACCCTTCTGCTGACCCCTCTCATCTGTCTGCTGACCACAACCCCACCCTTCTGCTGACCCCTCTCATCTGTCTGCTGACCTCAACCCTACCCTTCTGCTGACCCCTTAACCTGTCTGCTGACCTCAACCCGACCCTTCTGATGACCCCTCTCACCTGTCTGCTGACCATGGGTTTCTCCAGGTTCTGTAGGATGATGAGGTAGGTTGCTGCTGTCTCCAGGGTGTCATTGATGAGACACTCCTGCAACAAAAATACCACTCATCAAGCAACTCCATATGGTACTCAACAAACTCAGAAAACATAAAACATCAAACAGTTTAGAAATAAGACTATATCTACAAGAACATTAAGGTATTTTAGTGAAAATGCATACAAACTTCATGAAACACTTTCACTGTGACCTTGACATATTACAAAGGTCACCCAAAACCTTTTCCAATTTTGGCCTGCCCTAAGGCTGACCCAAAGGAAATGTTTCATGAGTATGGTGTGGTATAGAAACTTCCCTCCCAGGGCAATGGATATACCTGCAAACGCTGCATGGTTTCAAAAGCAAAGTGAGGTGCCAGGCAGCAGTCAAATTGGGACCAAACCTAAAAGCATTCTCATATACATGGGGCTGCTTCACTGTGGCAAGTGACTGTTCACACAGCACCATCTCTTTTCTTGAAGCTCTTTAATTTCACTCCAATTCTTCCCCAAACTCACCTCGAACAGATCTTTAGGGTTTCCGACAGTGGAGAAGAGGTAGGGCCAGAGAGCAACCTCCGTCTTCCTGGCACAGTGGACCACGGTCTGGAGGTACTCCGGGAATTCCTGGATAAATGCTACGACTCGCGGCAACAATGGGTCTGTAACAACATGAAACAAAACTAAATACACTTTGGTTCAGGATGTCTGCTGGTCAATGGTCAAGTAGGGGACTTTTTCTAAGATAGGCATTTTCAAAATCCATATGCCAGCAGTCAAATGAAAGAATATTGAGTTGCTCTGCATTCTGTTGAGCCTTGAATTCCTCCTAGACAGGACACCAGATAGCCTAGAATTCCCCTAGACAGGACAACAGATAGCCTAGAATTCCCCCTAGACAGGACAACAGATAGCCTAGAATTCCCCCTAGACAGGACACCAAATAGCCTAGAATTTTCCCTAAACTGGTTCCCTGGTGAACTTGTGACCTTGTGACAGCCTCTACCCCTGGGTTACCTGGAATAGGGTCTTTAGACGTGGCCTCCGCCTCCAGGACCTCATGTAGCAGCAGCTCCAGCACGTGGGGGAAGTAGGGCAGCTCCGTGCAGCACCGGGCCAGGTTCAGAGCATGCACACCCAGGCTGAAACAGGCAGTAACACCTCTCACAACTGTGTCATACAAATCCAGGAAATCCACAAGTTTACTTTCTGAACAGCTACAACTTACCATTCTTTCCCATAAATACACACATTGAAGAATGTCTTGGGTTTACTTACTTTCTTCTCAGCAGCTGCCTCAGGATATGATGGAGATAGATCTGACTCTGAAACATATACACCAACATGTACAAAACAAAAGACAAAATCCAGATGCTTGTTCTAATGGTAATAATGTTTCAGCAACCTTGACAGGCTGCGGTTCTCATCTAATCAACTAATTTTCTCATAATTCCCAAGCTAAGACACAAATTGGAAAGGTCAAATGAGGTACATAATATTTCTGACCACGCTGTCTATGCATAATATGGCACAAGAGAACTCTCATTACCTTAATCCTTTCAACATAATGCTGAACAATTATACCTTGTCACGCTATATCAAATATTACCTCAGAAGGGTACAAACAATCCTGATACAAATATTCCCCATTGCTATAGTTTTTAATAACAATGTTTGTGTGTTGTTTAATGCCACACTCTGCAATATTCCAGCTATATGACAGCGGTCTGTAAATAATCAAGTCTGGAACAGACAATCCAGTGTTTGATATCATGAGTATCAATCTACTCAATTGAGATATAACATGCATCAACCAAGTCAGCAAGCCTGATCACCCCCATCCCGTTGGTTGCCACTTACGACAAGCATAGTCGCCTTTTACGGCAAGCATGGGTTGCTAAAGACCTATTCTAACCGGATCTTCACAGGTCTAATAACAATGAAAAGATATAGTAACATAAACATGAATAAATGATGAAGTTCAGTGGCACTGACGAGTGGAAAAACATAAATCTTAAACAGTTTATACAACATTAATTGTAGCAATGTTGAGTCTTCCTCAACTTACAGTTCTCTCAAGGAGTGACAGAGGAAGTGATGACTTCTCCTGGCCGGGAGAAGAGACATCGTACACTACAGCATCACAGGCAGCGCCCAGGATAACCGCATCCTCAAACAGCACAGCTGCAGACACACAATACACAACCTTACAGGGTGCAAGACAGTAGGGACATTGTTGACTGTTTACATCCCACTCAACAATACCACCTATATGTTGGCAGCCTGTATATCCAATTATAAACCTATCACAGATATTAACCATTGTTTTGGACTCCTCTTGTTTTTTCGTAACAACCTCTTAGGAGGTTTTACTTTATCCTAGAAAGACCTCATCCCGGGTATGAAGTTTTACTTTTTCCTAGAAAGACCTCATCCTGGGTATGAAGTTTTACTTTTTCCTAGAAAGACCTCATCCCGGGTATGAGGTTTTACTTTTTCCTTGAAAGACCTCCTCCCGGGTATGAGGTTTTACTTTTTCCTAGAAAGACCTCCTCCCGGGTATGAAGTTTTGCTTTTTCCTAGAAAGACCTCCTCCCGGGTATGAGGTTTTACTTTTTCCTAGAAAGACCTCCTCCCGGGTATGAGGTTTTACTTTTTCCTTGAAAGACCTCCTCCCGGGTATGAGGTTTTACTTTTTCCTTGAAAGACCTCCTCCCGGGTATGAGGTTTTACTTTTTCCTTGAAAGACCTCCTCCCAGGTATGAGGTTTTACTTTTTCCTTGAAAGATCTCCTCCCAGGTATGAGGTTTTACTTTTTCCTTGAAAGATCTCCTCCCGGGTATGAGGTTTTACTTTTTCTTTGAAAGACCTGATGAGTTGAGTAGCAGATGGTGTTTGGACTAACTTTTCATACGCCCAATGTTCTAAAATTGAAGACTAGAATTGAAATCTTTTGATTAAGGATGAAGGGAAATGAACCTGCAACCTCTTATATCGTGTTAAGTTTTGTAATCAACTGTTTTCCCACTGAGCCACCGGGGCAGGTGATGAAAGGTTGTTTAATTTTACGTCATGATGCAAATGGTTTTTCTTTTAAATGCTTTGATCAAATTACTTTTATACTGAGATATACTGTATTGTTTCACTATAAGGTATCCCAATGTTTTCTTATTTTTTCTGGTATTTCTTGCATTTAGATGGTTGATTAGTAAGTTAAACACTCCTCCTCGGTTTTGGTTAAAAATGTAAAACCTAAGGCTTTTCCCTCACTTGCTGTTTTACATTTTCAACCAAAACCAAAGACAAAGTAGACAACAGTCTTGCTTGACAACAGTATAAGAATCTCTACCGAAACGTCATCTTTACAGCAATTAAAGAAGTTGTTATCCATAAACTGTGTCTACTTTGCCATCCGTCATCTTCTAAGTAATGCCTATCAAACAACACAATACCAAGGAGTCGTGTTTTATCCTCAGCATCAAATGTCCAAACCAGTGATTGATATTATGAGCAATATCCCATGACATCTTGGTATGATAGTACCCAATCAACAAAGTCACGGAGACTGACTACCCAATACATTTAGTCAACTCTTAGGGCAAAGAAAGGTTGCCGGGGACCTACTTTAACCTGGAGTCTCCAAGTGGGTGGACAATGAGTTCGAAGCATATTGAAAATACTGAACCTCTACTCTTCATTCTATTTTGTCCAAGAGTAAATATTGTCCAAATGTGACATTCGGGGACACATAAAGCAGATGATTACACAAAATAGAAAAGCTCATGACATTAACGTTTCTTTCTTTCTTGTTTAACGCCTCACTCAGCCATATTCCAGCTATATGACGGCGGTCTGTAAATAATCGAGTCTGGACCAGAAAATCCAGTGATTGATATCATGAGCATCGATCCACGCAATTGGGATACGATGACATATGTCAATCAAGTCAGTGAGCCTGACCACCCAATCCCATTAGTCGCCTCTTACGACAAGCATAGTCGCCTTTTACAACAAGCATGGGTTGCTGAAGACCTATTCTACCCCGGATCTTCACGGGTCTCATGACATTAACGAATCAGTGATAACTGATATTACATTCTATTCGTCCTCGGGAGTATACAACCCAATGCTGTGCTAGGCTCTACAAGGAATAGCATTGACATTACCATTTCATCCAAAAGGGCAGCCATTTGCTACTTGGTGATTAGACCCAAACAAAGTCACCTGCCTTAGACAAGGCCATACCGGTACTACATGAAGCAAAGCCCTAGAGACTCCCTGGAGGGAAGCTTGCAAACAGAGGCCACCTACACACTCCCCCACTATGGGTGGCACAGGGACAAAAGCTTTGCTGTGTACTCACCTAGAGGATAAATGTCCACTTTGAATGGCAACATTATTCGTTTTGACATGAAGTTGTGAGCTTTTCCTTCATTCTTAGGAAACAAAGGTAACCACACCTGCAACAGATATCCGTATATCTCAAACATCTTCCTTCTTCACATCACATTTCTAGATCGCAACCAGGCAATAGTAACAGCTTATGCAACTCAAAGGAAATATCTCCAGACATATCTTACAAAGACACTAAGGCATCTATTTTTTAATTACAGGTTCACTGATTATTTTTAAATAAAAGCAAATTAAACAAGAATAAAATTGAATAAATAAACGAAAATATTCATAATTAAATAAAAAACATTAATATAAAAGTAAAACTTATTTAATATGTAGTTTTCTTTGATAATCTTTTAAAATTGTTGTATGTTGGGTGAAATATCTTTGTGAATGAACATTGAAAGTTAAAAGGTTACATCAGTTCCTGTGTAGAACTGCTCATAATTGAATTTTCCTTACTCAAAGTCAAAGTGGTTAACAGACATGATAGGAAGAACAAAAAGACAATTCTAAAATGTTAATTTTATTCCATGTTTGTGAAATTTTGAGTCCCCAGTTCAATAAACCATTCAATAAAGTCCAAACGGTTATACAGTATAGCGGCGTGAGGGCTATAGCTAGCTGGGCCTTTGACTGACCTTCATCCCATGTGAGCCACAGCCCAGCCACATGGCCTCCAGTAATTGCATCTTGCCCAGGTTGGCCCTGGAGGTCGTCCAGAGATTCTCTACAGAGGTAGCTACGACAGACGGCGGACAGAACGGCACCTGCAGACACACCAATACACTGTACATGGCGTACGTCATAGTGTTTACATACTGTGAAACCATCACAATGATCAGTGTCAGGCACAAAATGATTCACTGATGTCGGTATGGTTGAAGGAGATGTCCGGATGGAAATTTGGAACATGTTGCTAGTTTCTTCTATCTTGCTGATCACAGCAAAAACCCATTACTCCAGACCTTGCAAGACTGGAAATTTCCTAACAATTATTGTTGGTGACTTTTACAAACAGTGAGAACTTTCTGTAATGTTGAATCATCATTAGGGAGTAATCTCCATCGTATATGCACATAGATGTTCCTAAATGTAATCATCGGAGTGAGTGAGTGAGCTGGGTTTAACGCCGCCTCTAACAGTATTCCAGTTATAACGCGGCGTGTCAGCTTAATGTGGGAGGAAAGCCCGAAGTCATGCAGGTCTCAGACGTTTACCACTTCAGTAAAACCCACGAGCACGGGTATGGTGCTGACAAACCAAGAAACATAATTGGGGCGAACCAGGATTCGAACCCACAACCATAGGTTTCTTGCGTGTCTAAGGAACGCAACTCTGCACAGCGAATCGCAGCGCCTTTGACAACTGGGCCACCTGTGCCCCCTGTTATCATCTGAAAAGAGGGGGTGGAGAATTAATGAGGCCTGGTTTAACAAGGTTTACTGTATGCCATATTTCTTGTCTATATTCACTTTTACTGAATGTACATGAGTACCATAGTTTGTTTTCCATGGCATTGACACTGACATAGTATATTTCCATAAATAACCACTCACAGCGGTACATGGACATAGATACATAGACATCGTCCCCCCTCAACAGGTAGGCAGTGATTGCTAGTCATTGGCATAGCCAGCAATATTCTAGAAAAAACACAGCAACCTGGACAAGTACAAGTGAATGATAGCTTGAGCAACGATCCATGACATCAGGGAGTATGACACACAATCACTTACTGCAACCATCCAATCACCATCATAGGTAACTCTGCTGCCATGTCATCAGGGAGTACGACACACAATCACTCACTGCAACCATCCAATCACCATCATAGGTAACTCTGCTGCCATGTCATCAGGGAGTACGACACACAATCACTCACTGCAACCATCCAATCCCCATCATAGGTAACTCTACTGCCATGCCATCAGGGAGTATGACACACAATCACTCACTGCAACCATCCAATCCCCATCATAGGTAACTCTACTGTCATGTCATCAGGGAGTATGACACACAATCACTTACTGCAACCATCCAATCACCATCATAGGTAACTCTACTGCCATGCCATCAGGGAGTACGACACACAATCACTCACTGCAACCATCCAATCACCATCATAGGTAACTCTGCTGCCATGCCATCAGGGAGTACGACACAATCACTCACTGCAACCATCCAATCACCATCATAGGTAACTCTACTGCCATGCCATCAGGGAGTATGACACACAATCACTCACTGCAACCATCCAATCACCATCATAGGTAACTCTGCTGCCATGCCATCAGGGAGTACGACACAATCACTTACTGCAACCATCCAATCACCATCATAGGTAACTCTGCTGCCATGTCATCAGGGAGTATGACACACAATCACTCACTGCAACCATCCAATCCCCATCATAGGTAACTCTACTGCCATGCCATCAGGGAGTATGACACACAATCACTCACTGCAACCATCCAATCACCATCATAGGTAACTCTGCTGCCATGTCATCAGGGAGTACGACACACAATCACTCACTGCAACCATCCAATCACCATCATAGGTAACTCTGCTGCCATGTCATCAGGGAGTATGACACACAATCACTCACTGCAACCATCCAATCACCATCATAGGTAACTCTACTGCCATGCCATCAGGGAGTATGACACACAATCACTCACTGCAACCATCCAATCACCATCATAGGTAACTCTGCTGCCATGTCATCAGGGAGTACGACACACAATCACTCACTGCAACCATCCAATCCCCATCATAGGTAACTCTACTGCCATGCCATCAGGGAGTATGACACACAATCACTCACTGCAACCATCCAATCACCATCATAGGTAACTCTGCTGCCATGTCATCAGGGAGTATGACACACAATCACTCACTGCAACCATCCAATCCCCATCATAGGTAACTCTACTGCCATGACATCAGGGAGTATGACACACAATCACTCACTGCAACCATCCAATCACCATCATAGGTAACTCTACTGCCATGCCATCAGGGAGTTTGACACACAATCACTTACTGCAACCATCCAATCACCATCATAGGTAACTCTACTGCCATGCCATCAGGGAGTACGACACAATCACTTACTGCAACCATCCAATCACCATCATAGGTAACTCTGCTGCCATGCCATCAGGGAGTACGACACAATCACTCACTGCAACCATCCAATCACCATCATAGGTAACTCTACTGCCATGCCATCAGGGAGTATGACACACAATCACTCACTGCAACCATCCAATCACCATCATAGGTAACTCTGCTGCCATGCCATCAGGGAGTACGACACAATCACTTACTGCAACCATCCAATCACCATCATAGGTAACTCTACTGCCATGCCATCAGGGAGTACGACACAATCACTTACTGCAACCATCCAATCACCATCATAGGTAACTCTGCTGCCATGCCATCAGGGAGTACGACACAATCACTCACTGCAACCATCCAATCACCATCATAGGTAACTCTGCTGCAATGCCATCAGGGAGTACGACACAATCACTCACTGCAACCATCCAATCACCATCATAGGTAACTCTACTGCCATGCCATCAGGGAGTATGACACACAATCACTCACTGCAACCATCCAATCACCATCATAGGTAACTCTACTGCCATGCCATCAGGGAGTACGACACACAATCACTCACTGCAACCATCCAATCACCATCATAGGTAACTCTGCTGCCATGTCATCAGGGAGTACGACACACAATCACTTACTGCAACCATCCAATCACCATCATAGGTAACTCTGCTGCCATGACATCAGGGAGTATGACACACAATCACTCACTGCAACCATCCAATCACCATCATAGGTAACTCTACTGCCATGCCATCAGGGAGTATGACACACAATCACTCACTGCAACCATCCAATCACCATCATAGGTAACTCTACTGCCATGCCATCAGGGAGTACGACACACAATCACTCACTGCAACCATCCAATCCCCATCATAGGTAACTCTACTGCCATGCCATCAGGGAGTACGACACACAATCACTCACTGCAACCATCCAATCCCCATCATAGGTAACTCTACTGCCATGCCATCAGGGAGTATGACACACAATCACTCACTGCAACCATCCAATCCCCATCATAGGTAACTCTACTGCCATGCCATCAGGGAGTACGACACACAATCACTCACTGCAACCATCCAATCACCATCATAGGTAACTCTACTGCCATGTCATCAGGGAGTATGACACACAATCACTCACTGCAACCATCCAATCACCATCATAGGTAACTCTGCTGCCATGCCATCAGGGAGTACGACACAATCACTCACTGCAACCATCCAATCACCATCATAGGTAACTCTACTGCCATGCCATCAGGGAGTATGACACACAATCACTCACTGCAACCATCCAATCACCATCATAGGTAACTCTGCTGCCATGCCATCAGGGAGTACGACACAATCACTTACTGCAACCATCCAATCACCATCATAGGTAACTCTACTGCCATGCCATCAGGGAGTACGACACAATCACTTACTGCAACCATCCAATCACCATCATAGGTAACTCTGCTGCCATGCCATCAGGGAGTACGACACAATCACTCACTGCAACCATCCAATCACCATCATAGGTAACTCTGCTGCCATGCCATCAGGGAGTACGACACAATCACTCACTGCAACCATCCAATCACCATCATAGGTAACTCTACTGCCATGCCATCAGGGAGTATGACACACAATCACTCACTGCAACCATCCAATCACCATCATAGGTAACTCTACTGCCATGCCATCAGGGAGTACGACACAATCACTCACTGCAACCATCCAATCACCATCATAGGTAACTCTACTGCCATGCCATCAGGGAGTATGACACACAATCACTCACTGCAACCATCCAATCACCATCATAGGTAACTCTACTGCCATGCCATCAGGGAGTACGACACAATCACTCACTGCAACCATCCAATCACCATCATAGGTAACTCTACTGCCATGCCATCAGGGAGTACGACACACAATCACTCACTGCAACCATCCAATCACCATCATAGGTAACTCTGCTGCCATGTCATCAGGGAGTACGACACACAATCACTCACTGCAACCATCCAATCACCATCATAGGTAACTCTACTGCCATGCCATCAGGGAGTACGACACAATCACTTACTGCAACCATCCAATCACCATCATAGGTAACTCTACTGCCATGCCATCAGGGAGTACGACACAATCACTCACTGCAACCATCCAATCACCATCATAGGTAACTCTGCTGCCATGTCATCAGGGAGTACGACACACAATCACTCACTGCAACCATCCAATCACCATCATAGGTAACTCTACTGCCATGTCATCAGGGAGTATGACACACAATCACTCACTGCAACCATCCAATCACCATCATAGGTAACTCTACTGCCATGCCATCAGGGAGTACGACACACAATCACTTACTGCAACCATCCAATCACCATCATAGGTAACTCTACTGCCATGTCATCAGGGAGTACGACACAATCACTTACTGCAACCATCCAATCACCATCATAGGTAACTCTACTGCCATGCCATCAGGGAGTACGACACACAATCACTCACTGCAACCATCCAATAACTCTGCTTTCATTTTGTTGGAAATCATGTATTACAGTGTTGTTGGTTGGTTGTTATTTGTCTGTTGTTTAATGTCGCACTCAGCACTATTCAAACTATATGACGGCTGTCTGTAAATAATCAAGTCTGGACCAGACAATCCTGTGATTGACATCGATCTACGCAATTGGGGTACAATGACATGCATCTCCGAAATCAGCAAGCCTGACCACCTGATCCTGTTAATTACCTCCTATGACAAGCATAGTCATCTTTTACTGCAAGCATGGATAGTTGAAGACCTATTCTAACTCGGATCTTCATGGGAATACAGTGTTGTGAGCAAACCAAAAGTACTGCATGGCATCTCCTCTCTTACAGAGTCGTGAGAAAGTAACAAGTACAGCATGCTGCATTAACGAAAACGTCACCTACCGATCTATATTTATGATCTTCATCTTTGATCTGAGGACCGGTGCGGTCTCGTTGAAACATCAACAGTTTGCCCGACACATTCAGCAACATACTCTCAGCTTCTTTGGATGTATGCTTGATTTGTGTTCCTGCAAGCAGGGAAGTACAACAGGGTCAAATGTGATGGATGACAAACGTTCCATATGTCTTCTGACAAACAATCTTCTCAAAGAGTGTCTGGTCTAAGTGGAATCAGCCTGACAAACGATCATTGGTGAACATGTCAATATATAGATGATGAAATAGATGTTACTTCTTATCTTACTGTCTAGAGTTTGAGCCATTTACTTTCCTATGGATGGGGGATGAACTGGTTGAGGATGAGGGGCACCTGTCTTGTGTATATCATACCTGACTGGGATGTAAGTGTGAGTGGGTGGAGATGAAAACACATCTGTGACGTCATTCTATTGTTTCAACGCTCAATTTTTTTTTAGGAATGGAGAATTGTTTGTGAAGTATACATTATCTTGAACCAACATTTGAATTAATTTCAACTTGGAATAGATGGAACTATTTTTTACATATATTGACAAGTGAATAATTTAATTTTTTGCCAAAAACATGTGTGGCCACATGTTGAGGGGCACCTGTATAGTTTATATGTTACTTGACTCAGATGTGAGGGAGGTGAGTGTGAGGCCAGCTACACACAGGGGGTGGGGAATAAACTGGTTGAGGGGCACCTGTATAGTTTATATGTTACTTGACTCAGATGTGAGGGAGGTGAGTGTGAGGCCAGCTACACACAGGGGGTGGGGAATAAACTGGTTGAGGGGCACCGGTATAGTTTATATGTTACTTGACTCAGATGTGAGGGAGGTGAGTGTGAGGCCAGCTACACACAGGGGGTGGGGAATAAACTGGTTGAGGGGCACCGGTATAGTTTATATGTTACCTGACTCGGATGTGAGGGAGGTGAGTGTGAGGCCAGCTACACACAGGGGGTGGGGAATAAACTGGTTGAGGGGCACCGGTATAGTTTATATGTTACCTGACTCGGATGTGAGGGAGGTGAGTGTGAGGCCAGCTACACACAGGGGGTGGGGAATAAACTGGTTGAGGGGCACCTGTATAGTTTATATGTTACCTGACTCGGATGTGAGGGAGGTGAGTGTGAGGCCAGCTACACACAGGGGGTGGGGAATAAACTGGTTGAGGGGCACCTCCTGAATTTTGCTGATTGTAACTGCTGGATCTGAAACAACACAAAAGACATGTCCACTGAAAAATACTACGAAAACAGAGCAACTCTGCTCCACAATCAATCACCCATTTCCAGTCTAAGATGAGACATCTTTATCAGTGCCATGTAAGAAAATGATACATTGCCTCTGTGTTATTCAGATATAGATCATAAACTTCGAATTAACAGACCAAAAAACTTTTTTTTTACATGCCTTTTATAAAGCCTTCTAGTACTACAAATTCCACCTAAACTAGTCTTCCCTTAACATAGCTATAGCATCCAATAAGCTTGCTTTATGACTACAGGTCCGTTCAATCAATATGATTTTCACTTACTTGACTGAGTATTTTTCCTCTCCAAACTAAAGAGCATGACATGGCTGTCAGCACAGAAGATGATGAGGATGTCCCTGAATGTGTTGAGGAGGAGGACCTGAGCAGGCACCTTGGTTATCTGGGCAAACGTGTTGTCCAGCTTAGTGCCACGGGGATAGAATCGGATCTGAAACAGGATTAACAGATGACAGATTTCTAAGGCATTTTTTTGTAATTATTTGTTCTATGGATCTGTTTTTCTGTTAACAAATTTCAGAAATGAACAAAAAGATAAAGTACCAGTTAGCCAATAGTCACCTTTTGACTTGTCAGTCCAACAATATTTCCGATGTATTTGATATTTGAAAACCAAATAATTTTTAAGAAACATAAGCAGTCCTCAGATTCATCTTTTAGATAAGACTGTTAGCAAGAAAGGGAAACACCTCTAATTCCTTGATTGTATCACATAGGAAAGTCTCACCTCGTCCCTCTGCCCTGGGATGTTGTAGCAGGCCAGGCAGATGAAGTCCTTCCACCAAGTGATGCCGCCTGACACAACCATGTCTCGCTCCTGCAACACACACAACATCATCAATATCTCACACACAACATCAACATCACCACGCCCATTATCAATATGACACACACATCAATAACACACACAACATCATCAATATCTCACACACAACATCAACATCACCACGCCCATTACCAATATGACACACACATCAATAACACACACAACATCATCAATATCTCACACACAACATCAACATCACCACGCCCATTATCAATATGACACACACATCAATAACACACACAACATCATCAATATCTCACACACAACATCAACATCACCACGCCCATTATCAATATGACACACACATCAATAACACACACAACATCATCAATATCTCACACACAACATCAACATCACCACGCCCATTATCAATATGACACACACATCAATAACACACACAACATCATCAATATCTCACACACATCATCAACATCACCACGCCCATTATCAATATGACACACACATCAATAACACACAGAACATCATCATTATCTCACACAAAACATCAACATCACCACGCCCATTATCAATATGACACACACATCAATAACACACACAACATCATCAATATCTCACACACAACATCAACATCACCACGCCCATTATCAATATGACACACACATCAATAACACACAGAACATCATCAATATCTCACACACAACACCAACAATACCACACCCATTATCAATATGACACACACATCAACAACACACAGAACATCATCAATATCTCACACACAACATCAACATCACCACGCCCATTATCAATATGACACACACATCAACAACACACACAACACCACATACACATCAACATCACACATAATCAACATCTTCCAGACATCAACAACACACACAACACAATATACACATCAACATCAAAATCACATACACACACCACACCTACACCATCAACATCATCACACCTAACATCAACATCACACACACATCATCACATACACAACATAATCAACATCCCACACACGTCACACACACAACATAATCAACATGAGACACACATCAATAACAGACACATCACACACACATCATGAACATCAACATGACACACAATCAACATTTTACACACATCACACCTGCTCCCGCAATCCACATCAAAATTACACATACATCATCAACATCAAACACACATCACACAAGGAACATCAACAACACACACCATCAACATCACACACACATCAAACACACAACACACACATAACATCAACAACACACACCATCAACATCACACACACGACATCAACATCAAACACACACATAACATCAACAACACACACCATCAACATCACACACACAATACACACATAACATCAAAAACACACAACACATCAACAAAACATACACCATCAACATCACACACACCATCAACATCACACCATCAACATCACCATCAAACACACACATAACATCAACATCAAACACACACATAACATCAACATCAAACACACACATAACATCAACATCAAACACACACATAACATCACACACACACACACCATCAACATCACACACACACACACCATCAACATCACACACACAACATCAACATCAAACACTCACACAACATCACACACACAACACATCAAACTCACACCAACACATGTTCAACAACCCAAGGAGCTTCCCTTCCATATACTGAATACATTCAATGGGGTAATAAGGGAATGAGACCAGTCACCTGCATTATATAACTGATTTTCAAGGGCTAATTCTTGGCTGTTCTAGCTGTGAGACTTACCTGTGTTTCATTCCCAAACAGCTTCCACTTTCTGTTAAAGAGAGCATAGTGAGCGAAGCCGGTCTTCCCTGCCACCGCCACACACTGCCCAGCTCGGTCCACTGCTGAATACTGGAAGAGGTAAAACATGCCTTGTCATAAACCTGCGCTTATGTTTTTGAAGACTGACACTAGGGCTGGGACAAGTAAAGATTTACTACCTGGGTACCCAACCCATTATTGTCCAATCCTACCCGGGGAACCAGCTGTAGATCTCAAGGGTTGGTACAAAATGTCAGACTGGGAATTGTCTTACCTGAGCCCTGGCAAAAACTATTTAGATGCATAGCACAGCCAGATAGCTGTGTGATAGGGCTGATCCTGGGACTAAACTTACCCCGATTGGCCAGCTGCTGGTCAGATAGCTGAGTGATAGGGATGATTCTGAGACTATACTCACCCTGATAGGCTAATTGTTGGCAAGACAGCTGTGTGATAGGGATGATCCTGAGACTATACTCACCCTGATTGCCAATTGTTAGCCAGATTGTTGTGTGATATAGGCTAATCCTGGGACTATACTCACCCTGATTGGCCAGTTGCTGGCCTGATAGCTGTGTGATATAAGACTGATCCTAGGACTAAACTCACCCTGATTGGCTAGTTGTTGGCCAGATAACTGTGTGATATAGGACTGATCCTGAGACTAAACTCACCCTGTTTGGCCAATTGCTGGCCAGATAACTGTGTGATTTAGGACTGATCCTGGGACTAAACTCACCCCGATTGGCTAATTGCTGGCCAGATAGCTGTGTGATATAGGGCTGATCCTGGGACTATACTCACCCTGATTGGCCAATTGCTGGCCAGATAGCTGTGTGATATAGGGCTGATCCTGGGACTATACTCACCCTGATTGGCCAGTTGCTGGCCAGATAGCTGTGTGATATAGGCTGATCCTGGGACTATACTCACCCTGATTGGCCAGTTGCTGGCCAGATAGCTGTGTGATATAGGACTGATCCTGGGACTATACTCACCCTGATTGGCCAGTTGCTGGCCAGATAGCTGTGTGATATAGGACTGATCCTGGGACTATACTCACCCTGATTGGCCAGTTGCTGGCCAGATAGCTGTGTGATATAGGCTGATCCTGGGACTATACTCACCCTGATTGGCCAATTGCTGGCCAGATAGCTGTGTGATATAGGGCTGATCCTTGGACTATACTCACCCTGATTGGCCAATTGCTGGCCAGATAGCTGTGTGATATAGGGCTGATCCTGGGACTATACTCACCCTGATTGGCCAATTGCTGGCCAGATAGCTGTGTGATATAGGGATGACCTGCCATTGCTTGTTGCCAATGAACACATTGCCTAGAAGACATGAGGTGTTGTTGCGTATGTGCGGAGAGTTGTGATGGTGGTGGTGATGGTGATGGTGACTAGAGGTCCGGGAGATGGTGTCTCCAGTACTCATGTATAGCTTATCCTCCCCCTGGAGGAACACATGCTCATGGTTGGCCTGTAACAAAAATATAGAGGGTTGACAGACCGCTCAACACACAGGGTTCAACTGACACACTGCTCCGACTACAAGGGTTAATTGGCACACAACCTACCACATACAAGGGTTGTTTGCTGTTTAAAACCACACACTATTCCAGTGATATGTCATGTAAATAATTTAACCTGGACCAGACAAACTTTTGACTGAAACTATGAGCATCCAACAAACACAATCAGTAAAGTCACTGAGACTGACCATCACTGAGACTGATTCATTGAGTTGCCACTTACATTTACAACAAGCATAGGTTTTGGGGGGCAGATTCTAACTTGGAATCCCCTCAGGGCCATACAAGGGTTGACTGACAAACCACTCACTATTCATGGGTGGACTGATACAAACTCACCATGCATGGGTTGACTGACAAACAACTCACCATGCATAGGTTGACTGACAAACAACTCACCAAGCATGGGTTGACTGACAAACTCACCATGCATGGGTTGACTGATAAACAACTCACCATGCATGGGTTGACTGACTAATAACTCACCATGCATGGGTTGACTGACAAACAACTCACCATGCATGGGTTGACTGACAAACAACTCACCAAACATGGGTTGACTGACAAACAACTCACCATGCATGGGTTGACTGATACACAACTCACCAAGCATGGGTTGACTGAACAACACACCATGCATGGGTTGACTGACAAACAACTCACCATGCATGGGTTGACTGAACAACTCACCATGCATGGGTTGACTGATACACAACTCACCAAACATGGGTTGACTGACAAACAACTCACCATGCATGGGTTGACTGATACACAACTCACCATGCATGGGTTGACTGACAAACTCACCATGCATGGGTTGACTGATAAACAACTCACCATGCATGGGTTGACTGACAAACAACTCAACATTCATGGGTTGACTGACAAACAACTCACCATGCATGGGTTGACTGATAAACAACTCACCATGCATGGGTTGACTGACTAATAACTCACCATGCATGGGTTGACTGACAAACAACTCACCATGCATGGGTTGATTGACAAACAACTCACCAAACATGGGTTGACTGACAAACAACTCACCATGCATGGGTTGACTGATACACAACTCACCATGCATGGGTTGACTGATACACAACTCACCATGCATGGGTTGACTGACAAACAACTCACCATGCATGGGTTGACTGACAAACAACTCACCATTCATGGGTTGACTGACAAACAACTCACCATGCATGAGTTGACTGACAAACAACTCACCAAGGATGGGTTGACTGACAAACAACTCACCATTCATGGGTTGACTGACAAACCATGCACCATGCATGGGTTGACTGATACACAACTCACCAAGCATTGGTTGACTGACAAACAACTCACCATGCATGAGATGACTGACAAATAACTCACCAAGCATGGGTTGCCTGACAAACAACTCACCAAGCATGGGTTGGCTGATAAACAACTCACCATGCATGGGTTGACTGACTAATAACTCACCATGCATGGGTTGACTGACAAACAACTCACCAAGCATGGGTTGACTGACAAACCACTCACCATTCATGGGTTGACTGACAAACAACTCACCATGCATGAGTTGACTGACAAACAACTCACCAAGCATGGGTTGACTGACAAACCACTCACCATTCATGGGATGACTGATAAACAACTCACCATGCATGGGTTGACTGATAGGGCACTCTTTAGGAACTGGAACTGCAACAGATTTGACTTGTGACACTGCTCGTAGATCCCCTCCCCGTTCTCCTCTCCCTCCCCTTTCTTCTCCTGGGTCGTGCCTCCTTCACACAGTGTTGAAATCATCCATAGATGGTACCCCTCTAGACCCCACTCCTGAAATCAAAGAGAAATGTTGAAGATGATTTTATCCTAAACCAGATCTAGTAAGTATGAGCATGACATCAGTTGTCATCATCCAGCGATCATTCCGCAAGCTGCTGAATCAGGTATCGTAGGACACACAGTAGAGTGAGACACGGGACCATGTAACTAATAATAATAACAATAAAAAACTCGCAAAAAAATCATAGACGAGGCGAGTTTTTTTGTTACTATTATTAGTTACATGGTCCTGTGAGTGAGAACACCGCTCACATAGCAGATGTGTCGCTCGTGTACGTTTGTTGTTCAATGCTGCACTCAGTAATATTCCATCAATATGATATGGCCTGTAAATAATTGACAGACAGACCAGTGATTGATATTATGAACAAGTCCCATGTCCTGTGATGGTTATGATCACAGACAACAAAGTCACAGTGCCAGACCACCCTATCCATTTAGGAACCTCTTACAACAAGCATACATTGCTGGGGATCAACTCTAACACTGAAAACCCCAAGGGCAGTGGCACTTATGGAACCTGTCATATTGAGGGTTGGTCATCCAGAAAGTGGCCGGCTACCTCCCAAGTAAGCTATGTTACTGGTGTTAATGACATCCACCTCTCAGAAGACTCACCATAGACTTGACAGGGGAAGGGTACAGGTGAATGCCTTCCTTCGGGGAGCTGGAAAGAAACAGGGATCACGTAAGATTCAGATATAATTGACAGTAATTTACTGATATCTTACAGTTTGTGCTTCAAATAAAATCTATTTAGGAAGAAAAATGGAGTGAACATCGGTAATATGGATGTAAATATTTAATTCATCATCATCACCATCATACAGTCAAAGAGCATGCAACTAAGTTGCCACCAATGATAGCAAGGTTTATTTCCCCTCGGAGAAATATGCAACTCGTAAGCCACTGTATTTAAGTTAGTAAATTTTGTCTTCCACCACAATCAGAATGTTTTGCAGCTACAAGTTGACGGCATGTTAAGTCTGGACCAGACAAATTATCCTTATCATTGAGGTACAATGTTTTACAAATCACCAGGTCATATATTATTGTTTTGATTAACGCCACAATCAGCAGTATTCCAGCCTAATGACTGCAGCATGTACATAATCAAGTCTAGGACCAGACAATCTAGTGATTGATATTACGAGCACAGCTCCACGCCTTCTTTATTCCAATATGGTGCTCCTCCCCACCGTGTAACGGAAGACTCACCTGTAATCCCCCCCCAGTGTACAGACCAGCAATGCCCCAAACACGCTCCACAAGGAGAAGCCGCCATTCTTCCATGTGAGAGCAATGGCAGTGCCATCTGGTGTCCACTTCATGCACTGCACCGAGCCAGCTATAGAGGCAGCATCTGAGGGTAGTGTTATCATGTATTAATGGTGTTACTGTCATATAATGGATAGTATTATTTTCATGTAATAGATAGTGTTATTATCATGTAATGGATAGTGTTATAATCATATATAAAATAGCTACACGTTAAATCGCAAAGAACATTGAAGAACGAAGCATGGTTTATTTCATGATAAAACATTGTTCTATCCTGACGTCATTTCTTTAGATTCGAACATGCGCTCGCAACTTGATGACATCAGTGCAAACACAGTACCTTGGACTAGCTTGACCTATCTGTTTAGTTCCTGCTAGAGATGACTAGCCATGGATGTGTTGTCAGTGCAAGTGTGTCTTTACAGCAACATATAGCCATGGATGTGATGACCATTGACTAGCTTGACCTACCTGGGTGGTCCCTGCTAGAGATGACTAGTTTATGTGTGTCTGCATGACTGTGTTGACCTACCTGGGTAGTCCCTGCTAGAGATGACTAGTTTATGTGTGTCTACATGACTGTGTTGACCTACCTGTTAAGTTCCTGCTAGAGATGACTAGTTTATGTGTGTCTGCATGACTGTGTTGACCTACATGGGTAGTCCCTGCTAGAGATGACTAGTTTATGTGTGTCTACATGACTGTGTTGACCTACCTTGGTAGTCCCTGCTAGAGATGACTAGTTTATGTGTGTCTACATGACTGTGTTGACCTACCTGGGTAGTCCCTGCTAGAGATGACTAGTTTATGTGTGTCTACAAGACGGTGTTGACCTACCTGGGTAGTCCCTGCTAGAGATGACTAGTTTATGTGTGTCTACATGACTGTGTTGACCTACCTGTTTAGTCCCTGCTAGAGATGACTAGTTAATGTGTGTCTACATGACTGCGCTGACCTACCTGGGTAGTCCCTGCTAGAGATGACTAGTTTATGTGTGTCTACATGACTGTGTTGACCTACCTGGGTAGTCCCTGCTAGAGATGACTAGTTTATGTGTGTCTACATGACTGTGTTGACCTACCTGGGTAGTCCCTGCTAGAGATGACTAGTTTATGTGTGTCTACATGACTGTGTTGACCTACCTGTTAAGTTCCTGCTAGAGATGACTAGTTTATGTGTGTCTGCATGACTGTGTTGACCTACATGGGTAGTCCCTGCTAGAGATGACTAGTTTATGTGTGTCTGCATGACTGTGTTGACCTACATGGGTAGTCCCTGCTAGAGATGACTAGTTTATGTGTGTCTACATGACTGTGTTGACCTACCTGGGTAGTCCCTGCTAGAGATGACTAGTTTATGTGTGTCTACATGACTGTGTTGACCTACCTGGGTAGTCCCTGCTAGAGATGACTAGTTTATGTGTGTCTAAATGACGGTGTTGACCTACCTGGGTAGTCCCTGCTAGAGATGACTAGTTTATGTGAGATTTCCAGTGCTCCAACTACTTCATCTATCATGTACACGATCCCCTCACCACTGAAACAAACAACACAATCCATAAGAGTCCTTCACAGATGCCATGTAGTCAAAACAATATTAGACAAGCAACAGTCGCTCATACATAGAACATAAATTTTATAGTTTTACAGTTTTTCCTTGGTTACCAAAGTCACTCCTACAAAGCTGTAACATTAGTTATTAATATGTATAATTCCTATTAGGGAATTTGTACCGACATCTGCTGTAGACTTTGGACTGAATATCTGCCCCTGATCAGGTCCAGATAAACCCTTGAATCTGCATTATGAAGCTTCAGTGAAGGGCACACGAACATGAAGTACGGAAATAATCTGTCATTTCAATTCTGTCCCAGTTGTCAAATTTATCCCTTGTAATTGTTAATAATCTTACCTTTTACATCCAAATGCTATGAGCCTGTATCTGTGGTTGACTGCGAGAGAGGTAGCATTCGACAAATCCTGAGCCCAAACACCATGGGCACTCTGAAAATACAATACAAGCTTCACTTACTTCACACATTGATGACACTATATCTTGCACCATCTCACAGACCAGAGAGTCAAAGGCTCTGTACTACATCTGTTTTCATTTTTAAAAAAGACTTTCATTGGACAGCACATTAGTGTATATACATAAAACTGGGCTGTGTGAACATCCCCAACTGGTTGACTCACTGTGAACCACACATCACCCACCCACCCCATCTAGCTCCAACTGGTTGACTCACTGTCAACCACACATCACACACCCACCCCATCTAGCTCCAACTGGTTGACTGACTGTCAACCACACATCATTCAACCACCCACCCCATCTAGCTCCAACTGGTTGACTGACTGTGAACCACACATCACCCACCCACCCCATCTAGCTCCAACTGGTTGACTCACTGTCAACCACACATCACCCACCCACCCACCCCATCTAGCTCCAACTGGTTGACTCACTATGAAATACACATCACCCACCCACCCCATCTAGCTCCAACTGGTTGACTCACTGTCAACCACACATCACCCACCCACCCAATCTAGCTCCAACTGGTTGACTCACTGTCAACCACACATCACCCACCCACCCAATCTAGCTCCAACTGGTTGACTCACTGTCAACCACACATCACACACCCACCCCATCTAGCTCCAACTGGTTGACTGACTGTCAACCACACATCATTCAACCACCCACCCCATCTAGCTCCAACTGGTTGACTGACTGTGAACCACACATCACCCACCCACCCCATCTAGCTCCAACTGGTTGACTCACTGTCAACCACACATCACCCACCCACCCACCCCATCTAGCTCCAACTGGTTGACTCACTATGAAATACACATCACCCACCCACCCCATCTAGCTCCAACTGGTTGACTCACTGTCAACCACACATCACCCACCCACCCAATCTAGCTCCAACTGGTTGACTCACTGTCAACCACACATCACCCACCCACCCAATCTAGCTCCAACTGGTTGACTCACTGTCAACCACACATCACCCCCCCCACAGCTTCTAGCTCCAACTGGTTGACTCACTGTGAACCAAATACATCACCAACCCACCCCATCTAGCTCCAACTGGTTGACTCACTGTGAACCACACATCACCCTCCCACAACTTCTAGCTCCAACTGGTTGACTCACTGTGAACCACACATCACCCTCCCACAGCTTCTAGCTCCAACTGGTTGACTCACTGTGAACCAAACATCACCCTCCCACAGCTTCTAGCTCCAACTGGTTGACTCACTGTGAACCACACATCACCCTCCCACAGCTTCTAGCTCCAACTGGTTGACTCACTGTGAACCACACATCACCCTCCCACAGCTTCTAGCTCCAACTGGATGACTCACTGTGAACCACACATCACCCACCCACCCACCCCATCTAGCTCCAACTGGTTGACTCACTGTCAACCACACATCACCCACCCACCCCATCTAGCTCCAACTGGTTGACTCACTGTCAACCACACATCACCCACCCAATCTAGCTCCAACTGGTTGACTCACTGTCAACCACACATCACCCACCCACCCAATCTAGCTCCAACTGGTTGACTCACTGTCAACCACACATCACCCACCCACCCACCCACCCCATCTACCTCCAACTGGTTGACTCACTGTCAACCACACATCACCCACCCACCCCATCTAACTCCAACTGGTTGACTCACTGTCAACCACACATCACCCACCCACCCACCCCATCTAGCTCCAACTGGTTGACTCACTGTCAACCACACATCACCCACCCACCCCATCTAGCTCCAACTGGTTGACTCACTGTCAACCACACATCACCCACCCACCCCATCTAGCTCCAACTGGTTGACTCACTGTCAACCACACATCACCCACCCAACCCATCTAGCTCCAACTGGTTGATTCACTGTCAACCACACATCACCCACCCACCCCATCTAGCTCCAACTGGTTGACTCACTGTCAACCACACATCACACACCCACCCCATCTAGCTCCAACTGGTTGACTCACTGTCAACCACACATCACCCACCCACAGCTTCTAGCTCCAACTGGTTGACTCACTGAAAAACCAAACACATCACCCACCCACCCCATCTAGCTCCAACTGGTTGACTCACTGTCAACCACACATCACCCACCCACCCCATCTAGCTCCAACTGGTTGACTCACTGTCAAACAAATACATCACCCACTCATCCCATCTAGCTCCAACTGGTTGACTCACTGTCAACCACACATCACCCTCCCACAGCTTCTAGCTCCAACTGGTTGACTCACTGTGAACCACACATCACCCTCCCACAGCTTCTAGCTCCAACTGGTTGACTCACTGTGAACCACACATCACCCACCCACAGCTTCTAGCTCCAACTGGATGACTCACTGAGAACCACACATCACCCACCCACCCCATCTGGTTCCAACTGGTTGACTCACTGTGAACCATACATCACCCACCCACCCCATCTAGCTCCAACTGGTTGACTCACTGTGAACCACACATCACCCACCCACCCCATCTAGCTCCAACTGGTTGACTCACTGTGAACCATACATCACCCACCCACCCCATCTAGCTCCAACTGGTTGACTCACTGTGAACCACACATCACCCACCCACAGCTTCTAGCTCCAACTGGTTGACTCACTGTGAACCACACATCACCCTCCCACAGCTTCTAGCTCCAACTGGTTGACTCACTGTGAACCACACATCACCCTCCCACAGCTTCTAGCTCCAACTGGATGACTCACTGAGAACCACACATCACCCACCCACCCCATCTGGTTCCAACTGGTTGACTCAGTGTGAACCATACATCACCCACCCACCCCATCTAGCTCCAACTGGTTGACTCACTGTGAACCACACATCACCAACCCACCCCATCTAGCTCCAACTGGTTGACTCACTGTGAACCATACATCACCCACCCACCCCATCTAGCTCCAACTGGTTCTCACTGTGAACCATACATCACCCACCCACCCCATCTAGCTCCAACTGGTTGACTCACTGTCAACCACACATCACCCACCCACCCCATCTAGCTCCAACTGGTTGACTCACTGTGAACCACACATCACCCACCCACCCTATCTAGCTCCAACTGGTTGACTCACTGTGAACCACACATCACCTGCCCACCCCATCTGGTTCCTTTCATCAACTCACTGTTTTCTCTGATCTGGAGGAAGGGGGGATGACAAAGACAGCCTTGCCGCTGGACAGCACCATGCTGTATCCGCCCAGCGTGGGACTGTACTCCATGTGAACCACATAGCCATCAGTGTCGGTCAGCTTGGAAGCTGCAAGATACACCACCAAGACCTACTTAGTCAACATCCATGCATCCATAGCTTCAAAATATAGGTCAAATCAGATACAATCTATACAATAAAAGAAGAAAATCACATTTAAAAAAACAAACATATTCATTTTATTCATAACTAATTGAAAAATAACTGATGTGATGACGTAACTTAAAATTCATCTACAAATCATGACTACATGAAGAATTTGGATTTACTTTTGGATTTCACATGTACTTTACACACCAGCAACTGAAGGATAATCTGATCAACATGATGAACTATGTCCAAGTGTGGAAGGCTATATCATCTACCATGAGTGTCATGCGTCATGGTATAGACACATCAGGGACTGGGTAGTGACAGATCGGGAATATGTAGCAGAAGGGTGTCATCTTTCACATGCTATATACTCAATGCCATTAATAGGAAACTTACACAAGTTGGGTATGCAAAATGTACTACAGAAAGTTAGACTACGGTAATCATAGTTTATACAAAACTGAATCCACCAAAAGACTATGCTCATACTGTTCAATGCCTTCCCAAGGCATTTTATCAAATTTTATGCAGTTTCAAAATTGAAATATTTTCAAAATCCAACAGCCAAATTCAGTGAAAACCTTGCTTATATACATGATCAAATCTGTCTACAAAAATAGATCAAGTTGTATTAATTCATCAATTTCTAACAGAATTTGGATGACCTTAGGTAATAATTAAGGGGAAATGGGTGGCCGGGTGGCCAAGTGGTCTAAGGAAAAATAAAGTGCTTTGAGTTGTGTTGTGTTGCCAGGATGTACTGATCTTGGGTTTGAATCCGAGGTTTCCCAGTATTATGATCCTTAGTTTGACAGTCACTGTTCCTACTACAATGTATGGAGATACCTATTCAAACAAGATCAAGGTTTTCTTGTGACTGGGTAGAAAGAATGCATGGACTGGTAGACAGGTGACTATAGGAAGTAGGCACTAGGACAACACACCTTCACACCAGCTCATAGGACACACCTGATGAACTCATCAATTCAGAACAATGTCACACAATACTGCAGTGATGAAACATGTTATCACGATGTTAGTAGGCAGGTGAGTGCAAATAGAAGCATGAACAATGAATGAAGCATAGACAATTATTATTATTATTATTATTATTATTATTAACAACAGCATAACAAAACACATTCCATGTTATGAGCATATATGTACATATTATTGTTAGCATGACATATTAAACAGTTGAGTTGCCTCCCTTTTTACCCTCATTGACAAGCTCCTTCCCAGCGTGTGACACCTTCGTTACCTTCTCGATAACATCGCTACCACCAGTGAGGGCGTGGCCATTACAAGAACCTTGAAATTTGCCTTCTAACCCCAAATGTAGTAACATTTATACTTTTGTTTATGTCTTTGGAAATGCCATACAGTTATTTTTTAAAAGGCTTACGACTGACCATATTTCCCAGATGAATTTACCTTTTTGTTTGTTTGACCGGATTGGTTTGAGATTGCAGCGAATGGAAAATCAACCAACTTCTCTCTTCCATTCTTACAATACCAATTACATGATAGTTGTAAAGAAACAGAAATTCAAATTGACAAACAAAGAAAATAAATTAGGAGGGGTAAGAGTATCGGCATGACGGCAGTCATCACTTGTTTGTAAACATAACGGTCAGACGGCTGCGCGTTCAACTCTAAGCATGGTTGTAGCCACCTATCACAGTGAGGAGCTTTGACTGGTGGCAGCGAAGGAAGAGAGAGCTCCACGAACAGGATATCGCTGTGAGGAGCTTGCCTCATTGATGGAGAAACTTTGGCCCACCCTGACCATAATGCAGACAGCGCCCTTAGTGATTTGCCATAACACACTCAAATACTGAAATCTCAAAATATTTTCTTTACATGATGCACACTCACTGTTTTGATAGATCAGGGATACCTTCTATCCTATCTGTATAACAATATAATAGCTTATCTGGGAAAATGCATCATAGTGTATAGAAATACCAAAATAATGATCACTTTATAGATGGATAAAATCTACAAGTCTAGATAACTGATTTGTTAAAAAGTAATTTATTTTGAACAAACTATGCATCATCAGTATAATACAAGAGAAACGTTGGCCTCAATTTTGGATGCAGGTTCATGCTTAGAATTCTATCACTGCTTTGTAAGAGTGTAAGAATCCCCCAAACCTTACTTCAAGAATGGCTTTAAAGACGTATCCTAACAACACTGAAATCCAACAGGAACCAATGAGAACAAATTAATATCAAGGCAAAACACCGAGTAATGTAACTTGAAAATAGCATTTCTCAGATGAACGGTCATAATAAACCTTCAATTTAAATTTAACAAGCATTTAGGCCACTACAAATTCATTAGTTGTTTCTCAGATTATTTGGTCAAAATGGAGTAGCTGATGGTGATTTTCAACCAGGACAAATAGAAATGACAAAATAAGAATAAGGATTTCTCCTGGCAGAGTATATTGCAGTAATACCCATGAACACACAATGAGAGTCCACTGAGTTTGTCATTTACATTTTTTCCAAACCTTGGTAGGAAGGAATTTGTCTCCTGTGGGTAATCTTGGGCTCAATGCGATCATTCATGCTTCACCATAAAATCAGCAACAAAAGAGGATATTTCTAAACCGATAGCAATGATTCTGATGCACAATTAGTCAATTTGCTGTGGCCTTATGAAAACGTGTTTAATCTTCTTGGTCCGTTCCACAAAACCACCTCATGCTTACAACTATCCCATGTTCATGATAACACATGTAACAACAGTTGTAATGCAAGGATTGTCTTGTAGGACAGGGTCCACAACACAATTCAAACTCATTCAATAAAAAAAGGGAGACAACTCACATATTTTACAACCCGGCACTGAAAAAACATGCACTGAACATTAGCTTCCGACTCCATGCAAAGCTATTCCATTCACCAAACAATTCCTAATCATTCATCATTCGGTGCTGTTTACACAATGAAATTACCGGGACTGGGTGTGGTTCCGTTGGGCCAATTCCACTGGGGGCACGCTCAAAAATAGATGGGCAAATTCAAATAGCATTTCAACCTAGAACTTTGTGGAAAACATAAAAGAACTCTCTCCTTAATATCCACAATGATGAAATATTCCGTAACGTCAAAAAACATTTCCTCTCACTGACCATCATTTTCATTTAGGTTACGTACAAGAAAGAAACTGAAAATGCTGAGACAAAATTCTTCAAGACAATGTGAGAAAATCATCAACCACATCATAACTGAAGTCTCAAGGTGTGTTTTATTCTTGATGTAAAACATGCAAATGTGGAGAGTTTAAGCCCTCTATTAACACACACTCCCCACCCACCCCCACCTCCATAGCAGTAAGCAAAGGCAGCCTACACAAGCTTAATGATGTGAGAGGCATGGGTAGACCAAAACATTATTAACTTTTTTCAAAGCTTTGCATGGCAAGATCCTGAATAAAGAATTGACAATGTTATCACTACCATTAATCCCTTTATCATGTTAATGTGTAAATAGACTGATTGGTGTCTAAGTTTTATCGCCTAATTGTAAAAAGTGAAAATTAGTGGCATATTATTTCTAGGTATGAGAAAAATACACAACTAGCTTTAAACAGAGAGAGTGATGTGATTATTAACAGTTGAGGTACAATGTTATGATGCAATGAAAACCTTTCTTTCGTGACATATGACAAAAGTGACAGATGGAGACATGAAATGCATGGCTGTCAGTTAATCAGCTGATGACAGTTACCATGGTTACATGATCATTAAAGCGCAGTGAGAGGTACAAGTGTTATTTTTGCTATTACTTGAATCTAATTGGTTTCTAGCAGGGATGGTTCTAATGCAAAACAATCTATTTCGAAGTTTCTATGCTAACATATCATAGATATTTCCCTTAAGTCATATATAATTGGTAAATCAGTAAATAAGGCCACTTGAAATTGTTTGTTTATCATCTGAATCAGCATATAAATAATTCTAAAAGGAAAACTGATACTGATTCAAAGAAAACATACATTTCATATCTCAATCTTGGGTCAACAAAGGTGAAATGCATATATTTTATCACACAAAAGTTACAACCTGTTAATTCTACAGTACCAAATATTCTAGGCATCCTTTTTCTTATTTGTAAAATTTCATCCCTTTATGCAAAACATAAACCTAGAAAATCATTTTTACCAACTACAACTGAATCCTTTATGTGAAAACACTCTCACAGCAGACAAGAGGTCGGTCACACTGACATTCCCTATCTTCTGTGAGGGTTCTACAGAGTCAGGTACCCTACCTCTAAACTGCTGCAGGTCTGTGGACACTGGGATATCGCGTAGATGCAGTGTAGCCTTGTCGTTCTTGTTGCCGTTCCAGCGAACCCGGTTCAGATAGCCGTCTGCCGTGCTCACCACCAGCTCATCACGGACACTCAGACAGCTGAAACAGACACTCAGATGCTGAAACAGACACTCAGACAGCTGAAACAGACACTCAGACAACTGGAACAGACACTCAGACAACTGGAACAGACACTCAGGCGCTGAAACAGACACTCAAACAGCTGAAACTGGAATAGACAGACAACTGATACAGACTCTCACAGACTCACACAACTGAAACAGACACTCAGACAACTGGAGCAGACACTCAAACAACTGGAACAGACACTCCCACAACTGGAACAGACTCCCACAACTGGAACAGACTCTCAAACAACTGAAACAGACACACACAACTGAAACAGACACTCAGACAACTGGAGCAGACACTCAAACAACTGAAACGGACACACACACAGCTGGAACAGACAGTGATTGAGTGAGTAACTAGTGCACATCATCAACATTGCAGCTATACATGGATCAGATGAAACAGACACACAACTGGAGCAGACAATCAGACCATAACTGAAGCAGACATGAAACATCTTGAAAAATTACATTTCATCATATGTCTAAATGCTTTTTTTGTTCTGATGTGACAATATTTAGAACCTTATTGAACTTTCAAGGCATACTGACATAGTGATACTGATGTGGTTATTGTGATGTCTAGTGTGGATTGTCTGAATCTACACTCATTTAAATAAGACACATAAACAAGATTTTGTCTGCCATAAGCTATATTTTCAGGGTATATACCACTCAAAACAAGTAAAAGAACACCTGATTTGTGCATATCACTAAATTAATCTGCCATGCCATGACACATTGACTAATGTAATATGAACAATAGCTGGGGTTCTTTAACTTCTTTTGAGTAGTATACATTGCTTGAAATATACTAGACTTTGAAACAAATGCTACAAATATTATTTGTGGGACATAAAAATGATGAAAGGTGTTGGGGTTTTAAGTTAAATGGGTAGATCTACTTTTGTTTGAAGTTCTTTTCATTGATGAAATTAGTTAACAGACATGCCTAATGAAAAGAGAGAATAATCGTAACATTCTTAATTTGTGAAATTGTACAAAGTAAATATAAAGGTCCTGCTCCTCTCACAACCCAGGGCCCACCACAATAAGACAGAGCTAGCTTCTTCATGACATCACGATAAACATGATGACACACGAATGAAAAAGCAAAAAGCCATTTTGAAATGTGGCATCTTATAACATGTTCCCATTAAATGTGTCAGCAGATGACATACCGTATATCGCTGTGTATAAGGAGAGTTTTTCATACCTAGAATTAGGGGGCTTTCAAGGGGGTCGCCTTATACACAGGGTTGAAAGGTTTTGATGGTTTTCCCCAACACAGAGACATTACTGTGAGCACATAACACCGGAAATACCATGTCAACAAATCCGTACTGAAGTACGCAAACTAATCATGTAATTACACTGTCTGGTTATATAAAGTGTTCATTGTATAGCTGGATTTAGGTTTGTAATCTATCTTATTAATTTTAACGTCTGTACAGCTGATTGCTACTTCCATCTTAGTTTATGAAACAGTACACACTGTAATCTGAATCTCTGCATATTAAACAATGCCTAGCACAACAGGAAACACAATTTAAAGGGTAAATCATCATGTCTAGTGATATTTTGTCTCAAAGTTCAATATTTGTATTGACCAAGCTTAATCATCTCTTTGTTTCCCTAAATTCATTGAAGGGAATTAATATAATTTTTTTCTGTGGAAGACAAACACATTTTTATTGCAAATCTATGGATTGTGTATACGCTGGTGATGTGCTTCAGGTGGTGGTGGTTTTATAGACAGTGATATACAGTAACATTCTTCACTGCAACAAACAACAAACCAGGATATCCATTAGCTGATAAATGCCTACATCTTGAGAGGCCTATTCCAGTGGCATACTGAGCACATTAACTATGTAAGGAAATAAGTCAAATGAATAAATAAATATATCGTTATTGTTTGGAAATATACTCGAGGTCATTCTCCATCAAATCACACCTATATGCTAGGTTGTTACACATCACAGGGACAGATGTCTATTTCAGGTAGTCGATCCTGGAAGCTGTGTTTATCCCATCACTAAACAGGTTATTCAGGTGTCAGGCATAACAATTTATGAGAGTGAAGTATACACATAACAAACCCTGCCACATGTGGGTTTAATCATGACACATGTCATAATGACTGATAATGTTATTTTTAACCTTTTTTTTATCATCACTCACTTTAGTGCAAACATTAAAAAACTTAATTTAATATACATTTTTTATGAATTGCTTGACGTTTAGTTACCTCTTAATGCAGTAGACACTCAAATTCAGAAACTATGATAAAGAAATCATTATATTACAACAGTTTATTTTGATTTCAAGACATGCCAAAACAGCTTGATTGTGCCCCAAATCCATGTATACAAATATCTGACAGGTAAAGCTATTGATAGAAACATAAATATATCTGGTCAGTATTCATTAACCCTCTGAATCTGGGTCAGGGAAGTAAGAGGCGTGACTGCCTGTGGGTATGGGTCAGCTCGCCCTGCAGGGCTGACACACCCCTTCCCCACTCTGTCCTGCTTGTCACAATAGCTGGTAGTTTGTTTGTATCAAGGGGACTGGGTGAGGCGTTCCCCTTCTAAGGGCAGGGATGAGATAGTGGGCAAGATGTTCCCCTTAAAAGAGCAGGGGCGATTGGTTCTCAATCAAAGGGCAAGGACGAAACGTTCGCCTTCAAGGGTACAGGGTAGATGATCCCCTTCAAAGAGGAAGGGGGTAGGTGTTCCCCTTCAAAGAGCAGGAGCAAGGCATGCCTCTTCAGAGGGCAAGGCGTTCCCCGTCAATAAACAAACAAACTTCAAGGAAGTCAATAGAGCACGATCGCAGTCAGTGAATTGAATTGGCATGATTATATGCTTGAGTAAACAGTGTCGATTTATTTTTACTGCCAAGGGCCATAACGAAAATACATCATTGACAAGCTGAAAAGTGCTTGAGAGTTATGGTTATAGTCATCTCATGTGGGCAGTAATAATCGGAGTTTTGTAAACAACAGAAGAAATGAGCCATACTTCCATATAGCAAAGACACATCATCAAGTACAGAGTATGCGTGATATGCACATTTACCCATCTATCATTGTCTGCCTTTTACAATATTATTTACATGAAAGATTTACAAAAATATAACATACCATTTACTTAATTCTTATTTTGTGAGAAACAGAATATGCAATACATACTCATATTTTATCATTATCATCCTTATTACAAAGCAAGGCAATTTTATTTAATTTTTGTTTCCAGATTCAATGACTGAAGTCACAATCAGAACTCAAAGTAAGCATAGTTTAAATCCTGTTTCTTGCCCAACAGCCCCAGATGCAACTACAAAAACCATACAAAACTTAAGTAACAATTTATCATATGTATTGTATTACGGTAAGTCTCTGACGACTGTTGTCTTCTTAGCCTTCTAAGAAGTAACTACATGTCATCCTATTAGCAAACATTGTTAAGTGTCCGGTATGGTTTGATGACACTAAAACAGGTCTCCCAACTTGAGCAACAAAGCTAAATAATTGTTTGATGCTTGTTGTTTGTTGTTTAATGTCCCACTCAGCAATATTCCAGCTTTATGATGGTTTCTGTAAATAATCAACTCTGGATCAGATAATCAAGTGATAGACAGCATAAGGCATTAACCCATGCAATTGGGATACGATGACATTCAACCTGTGAAGATCCTGGTTAGAATAGGTGTTCAACAACACATGCTTGCTGTAAAAGGCAACTATGCTTGTCATAAAACTAAACTACCCAAGGCATGTGGACTTGATGCATGTCATTGTATCCCAATTCCGTAAATATTGATGTCAATCACTGGATTGTCTGGTCCAGACTCGATTATTTACAGACCACCGTCATAAAGGTTGAACATTGCGAAGTGCGGCATTAAACCTCAAACAAACAAAAGGATGACATAAAATGAACCAAGTCACCAAGCAGGACCACACAATCCATTTCGTTGCCTCTTACAACAAACCTAGGTTGTGGGAGACCTTTTTACCCAGAATCCCCATGGGGTGAAACCCCCAAACTCCAGGGACACATCACATACCGGGCTTTAGGGTCTTGTTCATACTCACCATGATATGTTATCTGACAGATGTATCTGTGACACCCATGACACTTTCAGGGCAGGAACACTGTCACTGTCTAAGATGCCATTGATGTTGTGACGTGGTGTCGGAATACTTCTGAAATATGCAGGAAACTTACATGATGCTGTTGTTACTTATTATTTATTTGCTGTTGAATTTCTAGAGCTCATAATTCTCACAAAATACAAAATCTTAATGTGTATGACATGGCTGAATCAGTTCATGGAAGTAGTGCATCATACAGCTGAATCAATAAAGTTCTCCCTGATGGATGCAAATATCTCCCTGATACTAAAGGCTTAATGTCCCTGACACTGACAATTTGTCACATGTGTACATGTGCATTATAGGGGTGAGTCAATTCATTGATGTCTGTATATCAGGGCTAAATCATTTCATATTTCATGGAAATAGTGTATCACAGGGCGAAATCAATTCATTGATAGAGTGTATCACAGGGCGAAATCAATTCATTGATAGAGTGTATCACAGGGCTGAATCAATTCATTGATAGAGTGTATCACAGGGCTGAATCAATTCATGGAAGTAGTGTGTCACAGGGCTGATCAATTCATTGAAGTCCGTATTACAGGGATGAATCAATTCATTGATGTCTTATTATAGGGTTGAATGAATTAATTGATTAATTAGTTCATTCAGGACTGAATCAGTTCATATTTGCTGCTTAAACATAAACACCTGACTTCAGTAAAACAGCCAAGTAGGCAGAGCTGAATCTGACATTCCTTTGACTGGCAGGTCACTGTAACTCTCCAAGTCTCAAGCAGTGACGACCTGCCCTTCTACGGTATTTTCACTATTCATTTTCTATACCCTTACACCCAACATATGCAAATCCCACTGACAACCTTTCAAACACTATCATGATTCACCCCCATTCATTACAAGCTCCCTAGGCTGCAAAGCACCAATACCCTCCACATCTATAGCATATCAATTACACTGTAACGCCTTACCTTCCCATACCCTCATCTATAGCATGTCAATTCATTGTATCTTGTCACCCTCCTATACCCTTGTCTATAGCATGTCAATTACACTGCAACCTCACCTTCCTATACCTTGTCTATAGCATGTCAATTACACTGTAACCTCACCTTCCTATACCTTGTCTATAGCATGTCAATTACACTGTAACCTCACCTTCCTATACCTTGTCTATAGCATGTCAATTACACTGCAACCTCACCTTCCTATACCTTGTCTATAGCATGTCAATTACACTGTAACCTCACCTTCCTATACCCTCGTCTATAGCATGTCAATTACACTGCAACCTCACCTTCCTATACCTTGTCTATAGCATGTCAATTACACTGCAACCTCACCTTCCTATACCCTCGTCTATAGCATGTCAATTACACTGTAACCTCACCTTCCTATACCCTCGTCTATAGCATGTCAATTACACTGCAACCTCACCTTCCTATACCTTGTCTATAGCATGTCAATTACACTGCAACCTCACCTTCCTATACCTTGTCTATAGCATGTCAATTACACTGCAACCTCACCTTCCTATACCCTCATCTATAGCATGTCAATTCACTGTATCTTGTCACCCTCCTATACCCTCGTCTATAGCATGTCAATTACACTGCAACCTCACCTTCCTATACCTTGTCTATAGCATGTCAATTACACTGTAACCTCACCTTCCTATACCTTGTCTATAGCATGTCTATTCACCGTATCATGTCACCTCACCCTCCTATACCCTCGTCTATAGCATGTCAATTCACTGTATCGTGTCACCTCACCCTCCTATACCCTCGTCTTTAGCATGTCTATTCACTGTATCATGTCACCTCACCCTCCTATACCCTCGTCTATAGCATGTCTATTCACTGTATCATGTCACCTCACCCTCCTATACCCTCGTCTATAGCATGTCTATTCACCGTATCATGTCACCTCACCCTCCTATACCCTCGTCTATAGCATGTCTATTCACTGTATCATGTCACCTTACCCTCCTATACCCTCGTCTATAGCATGTCAATTCACTGTATCGTGTCACCTCACCCTCCTATACCCTCGTCTATAGCATGTCTATTCACTGTATCATGTCACCTCACCCTCCTATACCCTCGTCTATAGCATGTCAATGCACTGTATCGTGTCACCTCACCCTCCTATACCCTCGTCTATAGCACGTCTATTCACTGTATCATGTCACCTTACCCTCCTATACCCTCGTCTATAGCTTGTCTATTCACTGTTTCATGTCACCTCACCTTCCTTCTTGCTGTACATACAAACAGTTGTGGTTGGACACGGAGATGTCGATTTCCACTTTGAAGAACAACACATAGCACTTGGAGGTCTGTAATAGAGAAATAACATCAGGCTGAGAACTCTGTGTTTACATCACATACCTAAACAAATACACTAAGCCTATATAGATTACTGCTATGTGTGTCAGGGAGGGGATTGACAGCTGTCGTTGCTTGAAGTGCATTATTTTCATATTCATGATTAAGTTTATTATGATTTTAAGACAATGTGTAAACAGTGAAAAATTGGAGCTTTGATAAACATGATAAATCAACTTTTGACTTTCATGAAAATTCCTGATTCTGTTCAATCACACCAAAGGTTTTGTTTACAGAAAAGTGTATAGCTTAAAGGGGCACTGATCTAAAGCAATTCCCCGGGACTGGTTGTTGCCTTTGTTATTGTTTTTCCCCCCGTGAGTACCCGGATGATACGCAACACAACTGAGCGTGACAAGAGACTGAGCTACCGTCTGCAAGGACAGCTAAATAAACTTGGAGGCAATATTTGTTCTACGCATTTTTTAACACTGATTGGTTAACCGTGATCTATAAAGATTTCGACAAAGGGCGCATGTTAATTAATTTCTTCAGCCTTAAATAAACAGACAAAAAGAACGGCGGAGCTCATCGGATGTCATCATTTGGAAATAGCCCCAGATGGTTATAGTTTAATAAAAAAAAAGTATCCATGCAGTGAAGCATTTTCGGATGTTGGATTGCGTCGATAATACGATTACTACTCCCTTGTTGTCATCCATGTTTTCTGGTATAACCCTATACTCGTGTATTTGTCGTTATTCACTTGATGCTCAGTTAATGAATTTATTACAGGTATAATTAGTGGTAGCACCACTCAGATTACCTGACAAAGGTTCCCAATTGGCATTTATTGTGTCTGGGGTAATTATTCAATCTAAATCCAGGTTGGAAGTGAGGTGAAATGTGTGTTATGTAATGATGAATGATCAGTTGATTTGCTTTATTGTAAATCAACGGATCATTCCTAGTCATCAAAGGATTAACAATAACTATATTGATTGATTAATCACTGTTATCTTTCACAGTGGATATGTCAAAAGTGAGTGTTTACATGTCTAGGTTTACTAAAACAAAGGGAATACACTCATATCATGGCGTGAAGTGCCGATGTAAAAACAACATACTTTGTTCAAAGGGTTAACCGATAATACGTTGATTGACTGCTCATTGTTATCTAACTCAATGGAATTTTTTAGGAACCATGGACGTTAGGAAAATAGTTGTCTATGGCGACCTTTGAGACTTGACACGTATGTGAAACACCTGAAACAATCTAAGTGATCGGTTGAGAAACGAACACGGGTTATAATATCCCGAAACAATATATATATTTTAAAATATTTGATTGTTACAGAGACACGTGACATCGAATAAGATTCTTTGTACAGCAGCAGACGTGTGGGATATTGTTCCTTTGTGTGGATATTCACGGATTCATTCCACGAACAAGGAAGCTGCCTAAAATTATACACATAAATTTGGTAGGTTGTAATTATGATATTTGCATTTTGTTTTCCTTCATTTTCTGTAGCATTGAACAGATTCACTCTTCCTCCACGTCTTGGTTAGGAAATTCTTCGATGCGCGATAGACGTTGTTTTCACAAGTCTTTTCCCTTGGAAGGGTGTATATGTGACAGTCAATTTGTAAAATGTGATTCTCTCAGACAAGTTATAAAATGTCTAAATATTTCAGTCATTTTGACTGAAAAATCTGTCCTTTTCTTTAAAAGATTGACTAAAATTGATTATGATGATCAAAAGGGCCTAAAAACATCACAATAGATTATTATGTAGGATTAGAAGCCAAACAATATAGAAATGTACTTTTCATCGTAACATTTTCAGTCTCTTGGTGATGATATCAAACATTAAATGCTTGGAATTCTTTATAATTCGTAATAATAATACCGATGGACATATTTTTCAGTCAATTTGTAAAATAACTGAATATTTAGGTGTTAAATAAGTTTCCTAAGTGAAAAAATTGCACTTTTTGACTGTAAAAATATAAACACGATAAAATAAGCAATGCTCAGGAGAAATATTTACTTTGTGTTGCAAGTCAAAATAGTGTAAACGAAAATCGCACAATTACCAAGCTAGTGACTTATCAAAACTTCGTCACCATTACCGATGCTACCCACATAGATACCTACATTTCCTTATTATTTCCAAAACTGTATTTCATTTTGTTGATCAATGTGACATTACGCCCATATACTATCAATAAAAGTGACAAATGCGCTTTCGAATTGCGCAGCACAGATCGCGAACTAGTCTAGATTTCTGCTATACATCCGGATACTCACAGGAAAAAACAATAACAAAGGCAACAACCAGTCCTGGGGAATTGCTTTAGATCAGTGCCCCTTTAAGGGTGTAGACAGTATTCACTCAGTCAAATAAGTTATGTTGCAGGTGTGTGATGTGGTCTTAACAACTTAACTTGCAATCTTCAGACTTACAGAATGGCCCCATTCAAAAAGAAAATACTCCCATATTTAAAAGGCCAAAAAAAATTAATTATTATATTTCCATCCATATATATATATATTTCTTTTTAAACAAACTGTTAATGGCATCCCATTAACTGTTAAATGTTAATCCATAGATTCCCTTCACTAGAAGGTGCTACATCTTACCCAACTAAATGTATAATAGATCCATACACCATAAAGAAGATATGCTTCCCACTTAAACATGTGAATGTCATTTGAAGAGGAAATATTGAAAATTCTCAATCAAAATATGTTTCTAAGTTACAACTTATGCATGATCTCAAAAGCCTTGGGAAAGTAGTAAAATAAGAGTGTATGTGACATCAGTATTAGGTAATCATGGTGATGATATTCCAAAACTTGCACTTCAATAGCCATGTTTATACAAAAACAGGTGAAGAATGAGAGTTATCTGCCCTTACAATGACAGCCAGCATGGAGGAGTCCTGCTTCCATTCTGCCCGACAATATGCTCCATATTCCTCCAGCTGCTTCTGTGAGAGACTGTGACTTACTATTTGTATTGAGGGCTGAAAAATATAAAAAATAATTTTATTAAGACATAAGATAATAGAAAGTTGTGAAATCAGATGAATTATGATGCATAAATCATAATGGGATTTGGTTAACCTAGTAAAAAAGATATTACTAAAATGGTCATTACTGATACTCAGGAAGTAAACAATAAATCACCAGAAACAAAAAACAACAATATAAAAGACATGATCAATGATGCCAATATTCCAATGAGAGCTGTATCATAATTTCTGCATGACATAAACAAACACACAGACAAATGTTTCAAAAATTCACACACATATATTTAAAAACGAAAGTTTGCCAAACTGATTATGTAACACCTATGATGTTCATAGTACATGAGTATGGTTTTTACATCAATATTTCATCAATATCACAGCGGGGGACACCGCCCATCATGTTCACAATACTCAAACAACAAATCCAGATTTAGAATGACACTCCCAGGTCAAAAACAAAACAGATAAACAAAAACATAACAAAAACAAGAATTCCAAAAATAACAAGAGTACAGTTTTACAAGTTGCAACATTTAATGTCCAAAAAGTGAGCCAGGATAGTTAATTATACCACAACCCAAAAAACTAATCAATGGCGCTAAAGACAAGCCAACAGGTGTAAATGTACAAGGAGCACGACTTCTAAAGAATAGCGTAATCAATGGTCGTAATTGAAATTGACAAGGGTGTATTTGTCTTAGCACGAGGTGTGTAAGGAGAGGGACCCAACTCAACAACACAGCTGTGCCCCTCGTGTAAACACTATACACTTGTGAAGGCACCACCCAGTACACAGACTCAGCCCACAAATACCAACCCTACATATATACACACACTTACAGGGGACTATCAGAAATACTTCAAGGTACGGGCATGCGAACTTGATACGAACGTCAACGTCATCCCATGGTTGTTTTGGGTGTTTTTTGGCAAAGGACTAGCAGGCATGTGTGACCTATTTGTATGCAGGATATAATTATAATAGACAGTGAAGACAAGGAAGATTAAACTTCAGGTGATACAAGCATCTGAATGCATATGTGTGTACTTGAATAATGTTGGACTGGTAGATAAACAAGTTTAGTGTCATGGGACAAATCCTGCCTTTATAAATTACCAACGCTTTCATGAAAAATCATTCTAAGGTGTATACTTTCGTGTGATGAAATACAGCCACCAGATAAGCCATTTTCATGTGTCTGAAGTCTCCAGATAGTTCAAGGCTTAATAGAGAACCATAATCTTGACAATCCTTTACAACAATTGTCATGATTCTTCCAATATTGTTTCAGATTTTGTGTATTGTTTCAGTCCTATTTCCTGATTTGCAAATCAGACTATAAAAGAGTGCTGTTCCACACTGCAGTAAGACAATTTCCAGCTATATCACAGCAGTCTGTCATGTTGGACCAGACAAACCAGTGATTGACCCCATGAGCAACAATCCACATCAGGTCATGATGACATGAACCTGTCAAGTCAACCCAATCCACTTTTCTTGCTTCTTGAAACAAGCATGGGATACAGGGCACCTGTCTTCCATGACATCACATCATAATAAAGTACTGCCTCTTTTACAGCAGCATCTCCAAGGCTTTACTTGACACATGACACATGCATATGGAAATGTAGTGCTGACTTTGACAATATTTTCCATTAAAACCCACAGATATATATTTCTAACGGCCATACTGCTGATCCTCTTGTCAAAAACAACCTTCAGCATGGTTAGCAGCTAATAATGTGTGATCAATAATACAGTAAACTGACTTGGATCTTGAAGTTTCATTACCTCATGCCATAGGACTAGTGCAACAACTAGAATATTGCTACGAAAGCAGTCTGCAACTTTAGCCCCAAATCTGAGTCTTGCAAAAAAATTCTGTCTAGTATTGTTCGTCATTTAACACCACACTCAGTAAAATTTCAGCTATATGATGGTAGCCTGTGAATTATCGAGGACCAGAAAATTGAGTCTGGACAATGCTCGATAAGGTCAACAATCATCCACGCCAATCAACAAGGTTACCAAGTCTGACAAGCTGACCCATGTGGTCACTTCTTACAACCAGCATAGATTCCTGGGAACCAGTTCTAACCAAGATTCCCCATGCTAGCGTTAAAAATTGGCAATAGTCCTGTATTCCTTACCAAACTGCCCAATAGTAAAGGTATCCTCAGGACTAGTAGAAATCAGCCCATCTTAAGGGTTTTGCTATATGTTATCATTATAAGGACTAGTGGACAAAAACTGTTAGTTTCTAACGCTGCATGGTGTTCAGGTTTGGTCTAGTAGGTTTAGCCAATAACAATCCATGCATTAACACTAACATCTTCTGAAAGAGATGCCAAGAGAAATGTTTGGGCTTGTAGACTCATACATTTTTGGCAGAGACTGAGCAAGTAAACCCCCCATAAATCAGAAATCCCAGAAACTGATGGGGGTACTTGACACACGTGTATGTCTGGCAGACAGGCTGGGCAACACTTGACACCCTGACCAGGGTAGTATGACAACACAGTATCACATCCATTGAATGTTTCGCACTTAGCCAGTGCCTTCATATAAATTTTGGCTCTAAAAAACTGATCTCGAGAAGTCTGACATTGAGTCACGAACAGTAATTCAACAGTCAGTGCCAAGTCTGACATTACATTCCCCACTCAGTACCAGCTGAATATCAGGCAAGTAGAGAGAAAACTTTCAGACCATAGTTATTTCAACACTTTATAATGCGTTATCAGTTTCATCACAAGGAAAAGAACTAGGCCCTGTCCATTCATCCACAGCAGACAACATGTAACAGGTATCCTTCAGATGGGCAACAATTCATTAATATATCTTGCTAATGGTAATTTATAGTTTGTCTATGTCTTTATTTTGGCAAGGGGTTAATATCATAATCATTAATGATAAATGAGTTACATTCCCCTGTAACCATGGTAACAGTGACTTATTGCAATTTGAGGACTAAAATACATGATAATAACCTTTATCCATTTCTAATCATGCTAATAACAGGTAAAAATTGGCCTTTACTCTATATGTATGGATTTATGAAAGTCCTATGCACCTTGCATGCTCAGCAAATGATTTTACAGATAATGAACTTTTAGCCAATATCCTTCATGATGTGCCAATATCTGAGTATCATCACAATTGCCTTTAACCTGCTTCACAGGATCAGAGGAAAGACAAATCAATATTTTCACGGTTCCATTTCTACGATAAAAAGCTCATTGTATTGGCTCTCAATTTCCATATTTGCATCTCACATAACTGCATGATGTATTGCCATAGTCAGTGCAGTATTCAAAGAATCGATATAATAGATCCTTACACATAAAGTACATTTAGTACCAACATAGGCAACTAGCATCAGCAAATACTCCATCAAGTCCTCCACATCATCAAGACAAAACAGAAAGGTTTAGGCGGAACAATGATAATTTGATAGAATGATTGCATAAAATATTCATGTTACATAAGAGTATCTATACCATTGCCATGGTTACAATAAATGTCACACCAGTCTATGGAGTTACACAGTTATCAGATCGTCTGGACCCCAAATTGATTTATTCAAATTCTCTATCCAAATGACGATACTTCTATACTTATTCACATCTTCTTACTAAAATCCAGTCTTGAGGCCTTAATTCAGTTTGTGTAATGGCAGTAAAGCTCAGTCCACGTTCACATACAAACAAATCAAATTTTCCCCAAATCTCCCGGGAACCATTAAGTGGAAGTCTGGCCATTTAGTCTGAGGAGCACTGCAAGCGTTTGCATACAAAAGACACATCAGTGATCAAACAGTGAACTTCACCGACCACCAGCCACAAACAGATCATAAGCTAATATCCAAGCTTGGAGTCACATTTCTCTCAAATTAACTGTGTGAAATGAGAGCTCTATGAATAGTATGATGTTAAAGGAAACAGATCGCTTCTGTTCTGTGTCCTCAAAATACAGACAAATAAGTGAAACCAGTGAATGTTGCTCAAAACTGTAGGCAGTATCATTCTAGCTTTACATACTACCCAAAAAAAGTAAAGGACGAATTAGGCACCACCCAAATTTTTTACATAACCATAGTTAATCTGTCATGCTTGGACAGATAAACCATAGTAATGTGAAAGAACCAAGTGGTCCTTAACTTCTTTTGACTAGTATATCATGGCTTTAAATAACTGAGTCTGGGCAAGACAAATGGATTGTCACATAAATTTTCTGTCTTATTATCGGGTAACAGCCACTAGGGCTGCAACGAATACACCATGAGGCGAATACGATTCGTATCATTTGTCATATTTAGCATGTTCAGTGAGGCAACAACAACATAAATTATTTGACATGGTTTGCTAATTTTTAATATATTATTAAATATATTTTTCATTTATATACTTCATTTATCCAGGTACTAGTATCTGCTCAAATGCAACAATGACCAGTGCCCACAATACTGTCCAATTAAATAGTATAAGAGTGTTGTCTATGCATAAAATATGTTCTTATGGGTACTTTTTTTTATGTAAATAGATATGCTTGCATATTCATAAATATTCGATTCTAGTGGCCACGAATAACGAATTCAATTCATGAATGGATACGGTTTGATTCACCGAATACGCGAGTGAATCGTAACAGCCCTAACACCCACTGTACATTACATCATTGCCAGCACTCGATCCTCATCCGTCTGCTTGTGTTCAGAGTTGCTGACCCAGTGTCCTAGCCTCACCATGAGTATACAGACAAATAGTCAGTCCTGTTCATCACATCACATCAATCACATCACATCATATACATGATCAATGTAATTGTTTACCAAAACATTAAATCATTTCTCATGACAGGACAGACTGAATGGGAAAAATATGCTGGACACATGCTACATTTGTAAAGCAAGGACAGATAATTGCCAGTGTAACATCTGTGAGTGTCTGCCTTGAAAACCAGAGGTCCTGAAATAATCTTGTATGCGACA